TAATGATGATGACCTCGGGGCTCTCCGCCCCAGCGCTAACAGTCCCAGGCAGGGTCCCTTTCCCCCAGCAGACCCCAGTCGGTGCTGTTATGGGACCCCCAGTTTGCAGATGGGGAAACGCAGGTTCCGCGGGATTCCGGGCCAGGCAGCGACTCTGCCTCCTCCCCGTGCCCCGTCTGGGCTTCCTGGAGGTGGGGCGGGGGCATCAGACGAGGCGACTGCCCCTGACCCCCGCGTCCCCAGGAGCAGCCCAGGCCGCGGAGATCGTGGGCGGGAGGGAAGCCCAGCCCCACTCGCGCCCCTACATGGCGTCGCTGCAGCTGGCTTCCGGCAGCCACTTCTGCGGGGGTACCCTGGTGCACCCGAGGTTCGTGCTGACCGCCGCTCACTGCCTGAACAACGTGTGAGTGCGCCGGAACGTGACGGGCCGGGGTCCGAGGAGGAGGGCGGACCTGCTCGGGAGTCGGGGGTCCGGAGTCCGGGGGGCGGAGGGCGGGCCTGCCCGAGGGTCCGAGTCGGGGGTGCGGCCCTGCCTGCGCTTCGCCTGGCCTCACCCTTCCATCCGTCCACCTGCCCAACCCTCTCATCCCAGACTAGGCGGGCACCTGCCCTGCCTGCTCTCCGCGCCCGACATGGCCCCCTGATGCCCCAGGAGGATGAGCTCAAGCCAGGGGCCCAACCTTCGGGGGCAAGATGCAGACGGGGTGGCGGGTCTCCTGGGGGCAGCGGTGGGGAGTCCCTGAGGGGCTGCACCCTGGGCTTCAGGACGGGCATGGGGAGCACGGGTAGGCTTAGCACGAACGCCCCGACCCAGGAACCCTCAGCGCGTGCGCGTGGTACTGGGAGCCCACCGTCTGCTGACCGCCGAGCCCACCCAGCAGAGGCTCGGCATCAGTCGCCTGTTTGAGAACAGCTACAACCCGCAGGAGAAGCTGAATGACGTGCTCCTGCTGCAGGTAAGTGGGCGGTGCCGGCGCTGTGTTCCACCCTCCAGCGCCTCCCGCTGCAGGCGGGAGGCCAGGCCAGGCACCAACTTCGGAGTATGCGGGCCCCCCCCCGCCGTGGACTTTGCCCGGCTGTGTCCCCTCCCTTCTCCCTGCACTGTTCCCAGATACCCTCACCTTTGGCTTCCCAGATGGCTCAGTGGATAAAGAATCATCCGCCTGCAATGCAGGAGATGCAAGAGATGAGGGTTCAATCCCTGGGTCGGGATGATACCCTGGAGGAGGGCATGGCAACCCACTCCAGTATTCTTGCCTGGAGAATCCCATGGATGGAGAAGCCTGGCAGGCTACAGTCCATGGGGTCACAAAGAGTCGGACACGACTGAAGCGACTGGGCACCCACAGCTTTGGCACCAGCCTCCTCTCCTCAGGGAGACCTCCCTGGGCTGTCCCTGTATCATCTGAGTGATGCCCCCCACTCACTGTTCAGGATGAGGCTCTATTTCCCTTGACTGTGCCACCTGCCCTCCTCTTCTCAGCCCTTCCTGACCCAAAGATCAGCTCCCAGAGCAGAGATGTAGTGTCCCTAGGGCTTAGCCAGGATCAAGCATACAGTTGGGTAACTTCCCTGGTGGTCGAGTGGCAAGATTCTGTGCAGGGGGCCCAGGTTCGATCTCTGGTCAGGGAACTAGATCCCATATGCCCCAACAAAGAGTTTGCATGCCGCAACTAAGATCCAACACAGTCAAATAAATAAATAGTTTTTTAAAAAAAGCATACAGTTGGTGCTCAATAAGTGCTTTGTATGTGAATGAACACCACGGTGACCAGTGCTGGAAACAGGTGGCTCATGGCCTCAAGGAAGGTTAAACTGAGCCCTTGTCAGTTTGGAGGGTGATCAGGACAGCCTCCCTTGAGGAGGTGACCCTTGAGCCAGGCAGAGGGAACAGCATGTGCGAAAGCCGGGAGGAGGCACTTTGGGATAATGGTCTGTGGGTGGATGGGGGTCCAGAGGCGGGAGCTCACTGCCCCCTCACCCCCACCCTCTGCTGTAGCTGGACCAGCCGGCCACCCTCAACACCCATGTAGCGGTGGCTCAGCTCCCCCAGCAAGCCCAGCCACTGCCCCATGGCACCCAGTGCCTGGCCATGGGCTGGGGCCGCCTGGGCACCCTCGAGCCACTGCCCCAGGTCCTACAGGAGCTCAATGTCACCGTGGTCACCTTCCTGTGCCGGCCACAGAATGTGTGCACCTACGTGCCCCGACGCAGCGCTGGCATCTGCTTCGTACGTACTGGCGGCTCTGGCGCAGGGACCGCAGGAACTGCCCCAGGGAGGAAGGGTGGGCGGCGGGGACCCAGCCCTGCCTTCTCCTTCCTGAGCTCCCCATCTGGAAGGTGGGCACACCCGTCGTGAGGGGTGATGTGGCCTTTGTGGGTCTGGGGGCTCGTCCATCCAGGGGCTCCTCGAGTGGGTGACCAAGCCCCACTCTGTGGCCACACCCATCTCCCCGTCTCACTGGAGAGGCTTCAGTGAGACAGGGAGCATTTCACCCCTGCGCGGCCCCTTCCCCGAGGCAGCCTCGTCTGGCTGCTGGCCTGGCCTGAGGGACTGACCAACCTGCCCCTCCACAGGGGGACTCCGGGGGCCCCTTAATCTGTGATGGGATACTCCAGGGCGTGGACTCCTTCGTGATCCGGGGATGTGCCACCGGGCAGTACCCTGACTTCTTTGCTCGTGTCTCCCTCTATGTGGACTGGATCCACTCCGTGCTGAGCAGCGTTGGGGGCGAGGACAGCCCCTGAGCCCCCCAGAACCCCTGCAGGCGCTGCGGATAGAGGCGGTGGGTCTGTTTCTGTGTCCGTGCCCCCTCTCCCCCTCCCTGGCAGCCCCACCTGTGCCGTCAATAAAAGCTGAACCACCCCCTTGGCTCCTGTATGTCCTTCCCACGGGCAATGTCAGGGAGAACGGGTCAGGCTCCTCAGTGTCTGGGTCCTGAAACCCCAAACTCAGGGTGGGGGTGAGAACAGAGGCCTGGAGATCAGATGAGGGCCCAGGTCACCATGGATCCCACTCCCCAGATGCCCACACCCTGCCTGTGTGACCCTGGGCACGTGGCTGCCCCTCTCTGTGCCTCCATTTCCTCATCTGGAAAATGGAGTCGCCCCACACATGTCTAAGTGTCCAAGGAGCCCCACTCTGGCTCTGGGGGCTGGGGGTGTCCTGTCCAGTTCTGTGTGTATTAGTTAGTCGCTCAGTTGTGTCCGACTCTTTGTGAGTCCATGGACTGCAGTCTTCCAGGCTCCTCTGCCCATGGAATTCTCCAGGCAGAAATTCTGGAGTACATAGCCATTCCCTTCTCCAGGGGATTTTCCCAGCCCAGGGATCAAGCCCAGGACTCCTGCATCGCAGGCAGATTCTTTACTGCCTGAGACACCAGGGAAGCCCTTTCATCAAAATGGCCTCTTGACTAAGTCATCACGACCTGGGGTGCCCAGGGCCGGTGGGGCTCCTGAACAAGCATGGGCCAGCAGAGGGCCATCAGAAGGCTTCCTGGAGGAGGTGGCAATGCCTGAGCTGACTCCCAGTGCAGGAACAGGAACAAAAGAAGGGTTGTACAGACAAGGCACAGACCAGGCAAGGGCCATACATCAGGAGTAGCTTGGGGATGTGGGGAACAGCAAGGCCAACTGAATGGGGAAGGGAGAGCAGGTCAGGGAGGGGCAGGGCTGGGAGCACACACAGCCACCGGATGACCTGGGGTCTAGAGGAGGAGCCTGAGGCAAGGCAGAGGTAGGGGTCACAGGCCAGCCATGGAGAGGGCTGGTGGCCATGGCAATGCAGCAACGGAGGCTCAGAGAGAGGAGCCAACCAGCTCTGGGCACACACCAGCGTTGGAAGGCAGCTCTTTGGTTATTGATTTACTCTGCTGCCACCTGGTGGCAACATGCAAATTCGAGCTGGAGCCAGAATCCCCTCAGGCCCGCTGCCTTTTTTTTTTTTTTAACTGTTTCACAACTCAGCTGACCACCCCAGCGAGGAGCTGAGGCTGCTTGCAGCAGCAGCAGGAGCGAGCCTGCGCTGAGACCTGGGGCAAGGCCGGAATTCTGGGAAACCCCCGCTGATAAACGTCAGGGGAGGGCCGGGAATTCCCCCCCACAGCTCCCACGGGCCCACGGCAGGGAAGTGGTTTCTATAAAAAGCCCAGAGGGACCTCTCCCGCGGCGCTGGGGATAAATGAGGTTTGCTGGAGGGCATGTTGGACTGAGCCCATTGATGGGAACAGAAAGACCCAGAAAAAACAGCCCTGGGTGTTTTCTATTTTCTGAGCTCCAGCACATGAGTGTGTGTGTGTTGTGTGTGTGTGTGTATATGTAAGATGAGTCAGAGGAAAGCTCTGCACAAAAATGATCAGATCCAAGGAGGCGAGAACAGGGACCTGGGAGCTGGGGCTGACTTCTGGAGGTTGACAAGGCTGTTGACATTCAGGGGAGGACCGAGCCACAGGAATTATAAACAGGATGTTGCAGAGAAGTGACCCGGGGAGGGGGGTGGCCGGGGAGAGCAGGGCAGCCCCCAGCAACACAGGATCCCCTAGCTTCCAGAGTATCATTGTCCTGTGAGATGCTCCACGTGGCATCACTACTCTGATGGGAACCAGAACACCCCCAAGAGGATCATCACCATACCCTCTGGGAGAGGGTTAATGGTTAACAAACCCTCAAGGACGGCACTTTCTTATCTAAGAACTTCACACAAGTTCATTCATTTAATCCGTGGGACAATCTTGTGAGATGGGAACCTACAGCTTCCATTTTACAGATGAGGAAACGGAGGCTTGGAGAGGGCCTGAAGTCACAGTGGGCAAGTCCCCTGGAGTCCACAAGTTTAGCCATCGCGACCTGTGAGGATGTAGCATGCAGGTGGTCCTCAAAAGATCCAACTTTGTTTAAATCTGGTCTCCCCACCTGAGACACAGCCTCCTCCATTCTCCCTAGCCCCGATGGAAACTGGGTTATGTATACAGCAGGTGCTTACCAAGTGCTCTATGGTAGCTTTAACTCAACAAAGTGGGGAACCTGCCAAGAGGGGAGAGATGGGGGTTGACTTGCCTGTGGCCACACACCAGGGGTGGGGGGGGGGCAGGGACAAACTGGACTCCCACCCCAGCTGGGCTCTGGGTGTCCCTGGGTGCCCCCGCCCGCCTCTTCCTCAGATGGATCCGTTGGTTCCCTCCCCGAGCCTTGCTCCAAGCCAGGAGAACGTTGCTTCTTGCGACAGCCTTGGCTACAGCCGTTACAGCTGGAGCAGCTGGGGTTGGGAGGTGGGTGGGGTGAGGGGAACGGGCGCCGTGGGGCTGGGATTGGCCCTGGGGGACACCATCTCCCTTGTCCAGATTGAGCTCTTCCAAGGTCCATGCCAAAGCCCTCAAACTTGGATGGAGATCCATGGTCCAGCCTCCAGGCCCAGGAGGGAATTCTCTCTTCTGGCTCTGGCTAGAAGGGGTTTCAGAGAAGTTCAGAGGGGCAGGGGTGGGATGGGTTGGGAGGGGTTCCTTCCCAGAACCTCAGAGGGCCCCCAGAGACTGACCGAATCCCAGGTAGGAGTGAGTTCCCTGTTAGGCGCAGCAACCAAAGACAGGTTGGAAGTCCAGGCTCCCAGAGGGACATCCAAAGCCGAGGAAGAGTCAGCAAGTCGCCCTCTAGCTGTGAATTTTGGGTTCAAAGCCCAGCTCCGCCAACCATGTCACTGGGCAGGTGGCTCACGTGGAGACCCCGCCATGCCTGCAGAATATTAGGACAGAGCTGGGTGCACGTGATTGCTGTTATCAGAGAGCCCTGGGGAAACTGAGGCACATGGCATCCCAAGCAATTCCTTTGGGCCAGAGTGACCAGTATTCTTGCCTGGAGAATCCCACGGACAGAGGAGCCTGGCAGACTACAGTCCGTGGGGTCGCTAAGAGTTGGACACAACTAAGCGACTTAGCACGCATGCATGCATGACCACATTTAGCAAAAATACAGGACGCCCTGCTAACTAACTTCGTACAAAACTACATGTAGGGAATATTGGCTTCCCTAGTGGCTCTGGTGGTAAAGAATTTGCCTGCAGTGCAGGAGACCCGGGTTCAATCCCTGGGTCAGGAAGATCCCCTGGAGAAGGAAATGGCAACCCACTCTAGTATTATTGCCTGGAGAATTCCAGGGACAGAGGAGCCTGGGGGGCTATAGTCCATGGGATTGCAAAGAGTCAGACACAACTGTGTGGCTAACTTTCACTTCACTTACACAGGACACCCTGCTAACTTTGAATGTCAGATAAACTTTGCACATAACTACATCCCATGCTCATATGTGGGATACACTTATGTTAAAAAGATGTCTATCTGACATTACAGTTTAATTGTGCACCCTGAGTTTGAACTGGTGACCCTCCTGGAGCCTCCTGGTCACTTGCACAGGTCCTTCCCCAACTGTTCTTCCCATCACCCAGTTGGCCGTCCCCCAGTCCCTGGGATGGGGAGAGGAAGTAGGGGCACCTGGCCCCAGCGTGGGGCAACTGCAACTGCCTCCAGGCGTGGGGGCTATAAGAGGGACAGGTGGGCACAGAGGGCAGAAACCCAGGAGCCCCCAACCGACCATGACCCAAAGCTGCAGATGCTTCAGCCCCGCCCTGGCCCCCATCCTGCTGGCCCTGCTGCTGGGCGGTGAGTGGGGTCGAGTCTGTCCCTGGTCTTCTGCTCCCGCCTCTCCACTTGCCCTGGACCCTGCCAGCCCCCTCATCCTCATGGGATGAGGAGGAGACTGAGGTTCTGAGTGGTGAGGGTGAAGGGAGGGTTCACCCCGCACCCTGTGGGGACTTCAGGTCTGGCTGCGCCGGGGCAGGAGGACCGCACACGCCCCCTCCCCTCTCTGGATGACAAGCAATAGAGGAGCCCAACCCAGCGGGGAACTGGTGGGGGTTCCATGGGTCGGGGTTCCTCCTCCGCTTACCGCCCCACCCCGCCTGTGCCCCCAGGCCCCGCGCTGGCCTCGGAGATCGTGGGGGGCCGGGCTGCCCGGCCGCACGCCTGGCCCTTCATAGCTTCGCTGCAGCGGCGCGGAGGCCACTTCTGCGGCGCCACCCTCATCGCACGCAACTTCGTCCTGTCGGCAGCGCATTGTCTGAACGGCCTGTGAGTGTCTCCGCGCGCGCACACATCGGGTCCCGGCGCGAGGGGCGTGGGGCCGGCCCAGGGTGGGGGCTTCTGGCAAAACCTCGAGGGTTTGCAGGGTCCTCCTGCGCCCCAGCTGGGTCTCTCCACCGCTTCCCATCCCGGGGACCCCCACATCACCTCCTGTCTGCCCCCCGACCCCAGGAACTTTCGATCGGTGCGCGTGGTGCTGGGGGCGCATAACCTGCGGCGGCGGGAGCGAACGCGGCAGAATTTCAGGGTCCGGAGGGTCTTTGAAAACGGCTTCGACCCCTTGAGCCTGAAGAACGACGTCGTGGTTCTCCAGGTGCGCGGCAGGGCAGGGCAGGTGCAGCGCCCTGAGAGGCTTGGGGAGGGCGTGAGGAGCAGGAGACTGGGGGGTGCGGCTGGCGGGGGCAGACCTGGTGTCCCCCCTAATCCCGGGGCTTCAGTCACCCTGCTGTGAAATGGAGAAGTACACCCCCGCACCCCGCAGGGCTGCCAGAGATTAGATGATAAGACAGCCAGAAACTCTGAGCAGCTGTCTTTGCTGGCGGTGGGCACCTACGGCCTCCTTCTTTGGGAAATGGGGCAAAATTACCTACATTCGGGCGGGTGGGAGTCTAGAGGCAGAAACCTACCTTTCCCCTCTGCTTGCACAGCTATGATTATTCACTGAGACTGTTCTAGAACAAGGGCTTTATGGTCTCCGGTGTGGCCCACGGTTTGTTCTGTTGAACACTTACTGTTTACTGCATTCAAGACACATTGAGGGACTTCCCTGGTGGTCCAGTGGCTAAGACTCTGCACGCCCAAATTCAGGGGGCCCAGGTGCAATCCCTGGTTGGGAAACTAGATCCCGCATGCTGCAACTAAGACCCCACACAGCCAAATAAATAAATATAAAAAAAGAAAAAAAAAAGACATATCTAGAGACGTGGCCTCAGCCAAGGTGGTTCCTCCCGCTTTACAGATGGGGAAAGTGAGGCTCGATGGGAGGCATGCTGAGGGTGGGCGTCCTGCTCTTAAACACCCCAGGACAATGGCGGAGCCTCTGCAGGGGAACCCGGCCCCAGAGTCACAGCCGTGGCTCACCGCACCTCCCCCATGACTGCTCCGTACCCCCCACCCTCCTCTGCAGCTCAACAGGATGGCCACCCTCAACGCCAACGTGCAGGTGGCCCGGTTGCCTGCCCAGGACCAGGGCGTGGGCGAAGGTGTGCAGTGCGTGGCCATGGGCTGGGGCCAGCTGGGCACGAACCAGCCACTGCCCCAAATCCTGCAGCAGCTCAATGTGACAGTGGTGACTGGCCTCTGCCGCCCCACCAACGTGTGCACCCTGGTGCCACGCCGACACGCTGGCATCTGCTTTGTAAGTACCCTGGGTTCCCCCAGCCCCCACCCCACTCCCTCCCAGGCTGCTGCAGCCAGACCCCTGGAATATCTTCCCCACCCTGAAGGTAGGTGGAGCTGAGAGGGCTGGGCCGGGACCCCAGCCCCCCAATTTGTCTGGCTCCACAGGGGGACTCCGGCGGGCCCCTAGTCTGCAACGGGCTGGTCCATGGGATCGATTCCTTCGTCCGTGGAGGTTGCGGCTCCGGGGTCTTCCCAGACTCCTTTGCCTCTGTCGCCAAGTTTGCCAACTGGATCAACTCTATCATCCGGCGCCACGGTGACGACGATGGCCCCTCTCTCCACCCCAGGGACCCCGTGGGCAGGACCTGCTAGAAAGGCTGCACCTGTCACGCCCCCTCACCTGCCCCTGGCTGGGCCCTTCTCATGAAGCATCACTCAGCATCTGGCACAATAAAAACCTCTCTCTGTTTTGTAGAAGGTGTCTGCGTGTTTGTTGGTTGTACAACTGTGTCTTGAAAAGTCCTCAGGAGAAGGTCCTGGGCATGTCACACGTACACTGCCACCAGGTGGTGGCTAATTCAGGGCACTGGGGTAAGAAGTCCCTTCCCTACCTTCCACAAAAGGATCCCAGTTGCTATTTCTGGTTTTCCCTCCTGTTAAACAATTAAACCAGCGCTGCAGGTGGTGAGAACACAGAGCACTACAGCAGGTGTTCACATATGCTTACAAGCACAGACATCACTCTGAGTCTTTGGAAGTATTCACTCAGCTGGTCCTCTCTCTGCCCTCGAAGCAGAGGGGCAAACAGGTATGAAGTCACATTCAAGAGCCTGGGTTTGAGTCCCAGCTCTGTGACTTTGAGCAACTTGTGTGCTATCTCTGAGCCTCTGTTTCCCTGCAGTAAAGAGTGACGGACTGTCTGGGAAGCAGCCAGCCAGGAGTTGGGGTCCCGGGCCAGCCTCGGCATCATTGAGTGGGGAGACAGTCCCTCCCCCACCTCCCCAGACTTGGTGGGGAGGTGGGGGAGGAGGGAGTCAAAGACGTCAGATGTCTCACAAGGAAACACTTCAGCCCGAAGGAGTCACAACAGCCCTGGAGAGGCGACCAGCCTGTACCCCTCTTCTGCTTCCCTGAGCCTGGGAAGGAACCCCCAGGGGCCCACAAGACATGTAGGCTCTGCCATCATGCGGCTCACAGGCTGATGGTGGGGGAATCAATTGCCTAAACCAGCAAATAAATTTGAGAAGTAACATCAGGCAATGCCCCCTCCCCCACCCCTGACCCCACACCACGAAGCCAGGATAAACTTCTCTCTGCACCAACCCCCCCCACCCCCCGCATCTTCCCAGTGGGGCACACCAGCCTGGGCCCTACCTGACAGTCGGTCCTTTTGCTAATCCCTCTGTCTGCCGGCTCTTCCTGAAGGTATACCTCCCCACAAGTGCCAGCGGCTCAGAAACGTGACTCGCTGCCCAGCAATCGCTTTTTCCATTTAATACTATACCCTGGCAGTATTCCCAGGTCAACAGAGCATCCGGGGACACACCGGGTTATCCATTGAACTGACCTGTCTTGTTGGGTCATTTCAAAATTTTGTTGCAACTTCCAATACGCTTACTTACATAATCTGGACTCCACTTGCAAATGTGCTTTCGTTTCAGAGATTCTGATTTTAGTATAGAAACATGTCAGGATCTACTGAATCACATTTGCTATGTTGTTTTCTAATTTTCTTTTCACTGTGAAAAGGAGAGGGGGAAAGATGGTGCACTGCTTCCACTGGGAACAGCTCATAGCTCAAGGTCCTCCCCACTCTTCTGGGAGCACCCAGCATCTCCCCCTAGTAGGTTCATGAGATATTGACCCGCCATCCCCAACTTACAGAGGACTGTGTGACTCAGGTTCTGCTCATCAGAACCTTTCATCCCCTGCCTGCAAAAGATGGTTTAGGGGCATGAGATCCAAGTTCGGCCAATGAGAGGAAGGCTTGAGACCCTGGCTACAGTGATGGGGAATTTGTAGAGGGACTGACCTGGCTTCTGGGCTGAGTCTAGGGCCCCTGGGGCCACAACAATGAAGTCTGTTGAGGAAAAAAGTCATCAAGGAGGAAAGGAGGAACCAGAGGGAGACCTGACCTTGTTCAGGTGCCTGGATCAAACTAAAGCTGAAGGTGGACCCATGAACTTTCCATGTAATTTCCTTGTTGAAAATTCCACCCAGTTTGCCTTGGTTTTTCTGTCACTTGTATCCAGTCTTTCCAGCCACCCCTACACATCACTTTTCCCATATTCTACTTGTTGGGATATCAAGCTCCAGAGCCAAACCAGTGGGAACAAGGGTGTTGGATGACCTCTCCCCACCCCCACCTGACCTCTTCTCCAAGTTGTAGGAGGAAGAGAAAGAAGGGAGGAGCAGAAAAGGAGGAAGTGGGTTGTTTACAGACTGTGGTCTTCAGCTGCTGTTGCGAAACTTTTGGAGCTGGATAGACACTAGGGGGGACTGGGCTGGGGGGCTAAGGGTGGGTCCATCCCTCTGCTCTGCCCGCTGCCCATTTAAGGGGCAGCTCTCCACACCAGGGCTGGCCCTGGGTCAGGCTCACAGGGGTAGTTGGCATACCCAGAAGCCTGTCTATACTCAGTACAAAGTCCGTGGGAGAGAACCGCACCCCTGGGGAAAATGGACAGGCAGCTTCCCTTTCTCCAGCTGGGCTGATGCCCACCCGGCAGATAGGGCCTGTGGGAGTGCCCGCCTCCTTCCAGCCTCATAAAAGCACCCCCAGGGTCCTGCCTGGGTCAGTGTCAAGGCCACGGCGGCATCATGGCAGACCACACCCTGCACCTGGTGGTTCTGATCCTCCTCGGGACAGCCCTGTGTGGTGAGTGGATGTGGGATGACCAATGGGGGCCACCAGCTTGCAGGGCAGTCAGCGAGGTGGCCCCTTCATCAAACAGGACTATTCCCCAGCCCCACATGAACAGAAGGCTCTGGAAACCAAGGAATTCTCCAAACTTTAGGGATTTGGGGGTTGTTTTTTCTTTTGGCGGTGCCAAGCGGCTTGCAGGATCTTATTCCCCGACCAGGGGTTGAACCCCTGCTCTTGGCAGTGAGAGTCCCAACCACTTGCCTGCCAGGGGATGCTCTTAAAACTTTGCATCTAGCTTTCCACACACTGGCAAATGCTGGCAGAGATGTTGAGTTTGGGCGGCCCGGCTTTCCTCGTGTTTAAATTGAAGCCATCAGGCCCAGTGTGTAGGCATGGGGTTTTCCTCAGGCTCCCTCACTCCTTATCCTAAGTCTTCTCAGACGTTCCTCCCTGGGGCCCCAGGAGGTTGTAACTCTGTTGGGGAGGATTGCAGGATGGAATTCCAGGTCTGAGGGGGTATTACAGCCACCGGAGGGCGGGGTCCACGGGGGATCCAGAGGGCTAGGCTGCAGTCACCTAAGTCACCGAAGTCCTCACGCTGACCTGCCTACCTCCAGCGGCACAGCCCCGTGGCCGGATCCTGCGTGGCCAGGAGGCTCCATCCCACTCCCGGCCCTACATGGCATCCGTGCAGGTGAACGGCAAGCACGTGTGCGGAGGCTTCCTGATAGCAGAGCAGTGGGTGATGAGCGCAGCGCACTGCCTGGAGGACGTGTGAGTGGCCTGGGACAAAGAATGGGGCCGGGCGGGGCGGGGCGGCGGGGACGTGGTTCTGATGTGCGTCCACCCCACTCCCAGGGCCGATGGGAAGGTGCAGGTCCTCCTGGGCGCACACTCCCTGTCGCAGCCGGAGCCCTCCAAGCGCCTATACGACGTGCTCCGCGCAGTGCCCCACCCGGGCAGCCGGGCAGAGACCATCGACCACGACTTACTCCTGCTGCAGGTCTGCCGGGTCTAGACGCAGTCCCCCCGCTGCCCTGGGGCTCCGCCCTGCCCCGGGCCTAACATTGGCTTCTGCCCCATCCCCCAGCTCTCTGAGAAAGCCGTGCTGGGCCCTGCCGTGCAGCTCCTGCCATGGCAGCGCGAGGACCGCGACGTGGCTGCGGGCACTCTCTGCGACGTGGCGGGCTGGGGCGTGGTCAGCCACACCGGCCGGAAACCCGACCGCCTGCAGCACCTACTCCTGCCGGTGCTCGACCGCGCCACCTGCAACCTGCGAACGTACCACGACGGCACCATCACTGAGCGAATGATGTGCGCGGAGAGCAACCGCCGGGACACCTGCAAGGTTCGCAGGCGGGGCGGGACAGAGAGGGTTCAGGCCTGCTGTGGGTGGGGCCTGTAGAGGGGCGGGGCAGAGAGGGGACCAGCCTGTTGGGGGTGGGTCCAGGAGAGGGGCGGGGCGCCCTGGGGACTGGGCAGAGAAGGGCCGGTATGCTGGAGGGCGGGGCCGGCAGAGGGGCTGCGCACACGGACACGCTGGGCGGGCATGGCTGGCCTGAGGACAAAAAAGGGTTGGGAGGAGAGGTAACAACTGGGAGAAGATGTGGATGCTTTGGGACCCGAACTTGAAGGCTTCGAGGGGCTGCTGCGCAGACACTGGGACGGAGGGCGGAGTGGAGCTTGAAAGAGGCGGAACCGAAATCCGGAGGCGCGGCCTTGATGGGCGGCAGTAGGTGGACCCTGGGGAAACTGACGAGTGAGGGAATGACTGGGGCCTCAGGGCTGAGCGGAATTGCAACAGGCTGGAAAAGCAGCAGGCTCTAGTGGAGCCGAACCAGAACGCGGGAGGGCGGGCCTGCACCGGACCTCACGACCCCGCTCCCCGCAGGGCGACTCTGGAGGCCCGCTGGTGTGCGGCAGCGTGGCCGAGGGCGTGGTCACCTCGGGTTCACGGGTCTGCGGCAACCGCAAGAAGCCCGGTATCTACACGCGCTTGGCGAGCTATGTGGCCTGGATCGACGGCGTCATGGCTGAGGGCGCAACCGCCTAAGGAGCCCCTGAGAGGCTGCGGTCACGGGGCCCGAGCAATAAAATCATCCATTCCTGCACCCGATCCGCCTTTATTAATTGCACGCTGCCTGCAGGAGTGGACCGAAGTGAGTCAGGCTGAGGGGGCGGCGGAGTCCTGGTAAAGATGGTAAAGCTGAGATTTGCCTGAAGGAGGGACATTCGGGCTAAAGTCCGGAGGCCCCACGCCCTTCAAGCCTGGCTTCACTTCACGCCTCGGCCACACGGTGGCGCCCTTACTCTTCCTAGGAAATAGAAGTGCCCTGAGACCTAGCAAGGGGTGTGGGTGGGGTAGTGTCCCCTTGGTTCCCGCTTCCCAAGAGGAATGTGAAGGCCTACTGTGTGCAAGACCCCGCTCTGGGCTGAGATCTAGGTACACAGACAGGTTGTGTTCTTAGAACCGTGTCCCAAATGGGGAAACGCTCAGAGACACTGTGCGACTCTGCTGAGCAGCCTGGAATTCAGCCCAGAGCAAGGTACCTGCCTGCGTTCACAGTCTGTCCCCACGTGCAGTGTGGCTCACTGACTGTCCAAAGCTGACTGATGTCCCAGAGCAGCCCCCCTGATTGGGGGCCTAGATGACTCACCACCTTCCTGGGTCTTAGTTTCACCCTTCTGCGAGATGACAGGGCAGAACCCAGGGACTGAGGCCCTGGGCCCTCCCACCCCCGGATAAAGGGCCACTGAAGCCCAGCACCTACTTGGCCCCAGGTGTTAAAGCCTGACCCACAAAAGGAGCCTCTGACCTCCCTTTGGTCAATAAAGAGATTGAGGGTCTGAGAAATGGTCATATGCCTCACGAGGGACTGGAACTGGAAACTGGCCAGGTGTTTTTCTGCTATGAAGCATTCATTCACATGGAAGCTCTTGAGACACAGCTAAGACCCAGCCCTGCTCATAGCAACCGGGTCATATATTCCCGGATGCACAAATAGAACTTCTGAGTGATCCTGAGGACGGGCTGGGGGTTCTCCTCAGTGTGCTCAGGAATTTTTTTTCATGTGGGATTTAAGAAGCTGCATGCACTTAAGTGACAGCGGAAAGGAAAATGTAACTGCCGGTCAGTCAGCCATCACAGACTCACTCGTCCCATGGTTACTTCCTGAATTAAGTCAAGACACTGGGGAGTGGCCCTAAAATGATCCAGTTGGTAGGTGGAGCAGTAGGATTATCAGATTTAGCAAACAAAAATGCAGGTTGTCCAGTTACATGAGAGTTTCAGGAAAATTTTGTTAAGTATGTCCCATGTCCCATGGGACAGACTTAGACTAAAATACCATTCATTGTCCATCTGAAATTCAGACTTAACTGTCCTTCTGCATTTTATCTGGCAATACTAGTTGGGGGTACAGATGAGATAAAACAGTGAGCAATGGCCCCTGAGGTCAGTGGCTGGAGCAGAACCAGATGGAGTTGGTGGGGCGGGTGAGGATGGAGGGGACTGTAGGCCTCCAGGGGGAGACACAGGCTCCTACCATCTACCCAGGTGGGATGGGGGGGAGGGGGGCACATTGCTGCAGTCACCTGGAACCCTGGGACCCTGGGACCCTGGAGGGCTTCCGCTTCCACTTCTATCTGGAGGATGGTGTCTTCAGCCTCCTCAACCACAATGGGGTCCCGTGGGCCCGGCTCTGAGACTGAGGGCACAGGAGACATGCAATCGGAGGAACCGAACTGCCTCTTCTTGTCACAGGAATGCCTGCTCTTGTCCCCAGAAGGGGACCTGTGTGGACACGGGGTGGGGGAAGGATGAGGGGCAAGGAAATCTCCCCACCCACAAACCCCCTCCCAACAGGGCCGACAGATGACCTGACGCTTCTGGACAGCCGGGCATGGGCATGCCCACTGGGCTCGTCACAGCAGCTCATGGGCGCCCTGGTCAACCACCGCTCAGTGACAAGCTGCCCCGAACTCGGTGACGCTGAGCCATCCCATCCCCTTCATCTCACTTGGTTTGTGTGGGTCGGGGTCACACGGGCATAGGGGTGTCCCTGCTCCACCCCCTGGATGACCAGACCCTAGGGGCCAGCCTGCAGGTGTCCAGAGGCTCTAGGAGGAGGCCCAGGAGCCAGGCCAGGTCCCACCAGCCTCAGGTCAGCCGGCACCACCTCCCCTGCACAGGATGGGTCGGAGCAGGTCCAAGGGGAAGGGCCTAGGACTCGTCCTCCAGAGACCATCCGAGGATGGTGGGTGTGGTGTAAACCCCCACAATTTAACCTTAAAGCAATGAAATGAGTGCAAGAAACACGCTCACTTTTCTAAAACAAGTAGCTGCTTTAAAGACTTTAGAATGACTTGAGAAAGGCAAGTGGCTTAAAAAATATATAGTTAGATGAGGTAAAAGGCTGAGAAAATGTATGCAAGAACCTGGGCCGTGTGCCGCTCCACCAGAGAGGCTGCCCATTTCAGGCCCGTTTCTCCAAGGGGCTGGGGCACCAGCAGCAGCACGGGTGGGGGGTACCCCAAAGGTCCCTGCAGAAAGCACTACTCAGATGGCAAGACATGGACACCCCTGAGTGCTGGGACCACAGGCAGGTGGGCAACTGGCTCAGGTAATGGGGCCCCTGGAGCGCTGCCAGTCCCTGAAAGCCCGACACAGCGGGCAGCATGCTGACCTCCACAGGGCGCCTACCCGGCCTGCCCTCCCTCGAGCCTCCAGAAGGAAAACAAGAGAAGCAATTACCGCTTAACAGGCAGGCACTGTGCCCGGGCCCTGGGGAGCCACATAATCGGTAAGAATGGTTGCTGGCGAGACAGGACCCCTGGGAGCCACAGCCTGAGCTCCCAAAAACCTGGTGGGGGAGGGGAGGAAGGCAGGGAGGCAGAGAGAAAGAAGAGACAGAGATACTCCTGTGTACAGGAACCCAGGCAGTAGGAAGCAGCCCCCGCCCACGTCCAGTCCACTGCTCCCCACTGGGACGCCTGCAACTGGTAGACAGGAGGTGCTCAATAAATGCTGGCCAAGCAGGAGAGCAACACACACAGGCACACAACCCCATGCGTGTGAAGGGGGAGGGGCTGTGGGGGCTGGCGCCCAGGACACCGACAAGACACCTGCTGCCCAGGGGGATGTTTCTGGGGCCTGCCCATGTCAGAGACAGCAGTGACAGATACAGGTGGGGGACCCAAGGCTGACGCCCAGATGGTGTCCTTGACAGTGGCCACTGGATGCCTGGCAGGTTCGTGTGTCATGTTCTAAAGCACAGAGCCCTCAGATCCTGGACCCTCTGAACTGGGACCTAGGGGTCCTTGGGGTCCTGAGGGGCAGCACTTGCCGTGGTTCTGCCTGGGGCAGGCCCCAGCCTATCTCAGTCACCACCTTGCAGGGTGATCACATGGCCAGGTCCTCCTCCCAGGTAAATCAACAGGCTCCGAGGGAGAAAGCCTGGACGGCTGGGCTGAGGTGCCAACTTGAGGCTTCAGGCTCTGTCCTCACTGGTCCTGTCGGTTACAGGAGTGCTGGCGCAGCAGACAAGGCCCCCAAAGCATAGTTCCAGGGTGGTGGTGTCTAAGAACACCCAACGAAGGTCTGGAGCACGTGGCCGCTCTGTCACCGGCAAGGGGACAGCATGGCTTTTCTGTAAGTTCATTAGGAATCCACTGACATTTTGCACAGCAGAGGAAACCATAAACAAAATGAAAGACAACCTACAGAATGGGAGAAAATATTTGGAAACGATGCAACTGACAAGGGTGCAATTTCCAAAATATACAAACGACTCATATAGCTCAATGTCAAAAAACCAACCCAATCAAAAAAATTGGCAGAAGATCTAAAGAGACATTTCTCCAAAGAAGACATATGGGTGGCCAACAGACACATGAAAATATGCTTCACATCACTAATTATTAAAGAAATGCAAATGAAAACTACAATGAGGTATCACCTCACACCAGTCAGAATTGCCATAGTTAAAAAGTCTGCAAATTCTGGTGAGGGCATAGAGAAAAGGAAACCTTCCTACATTGTTGGTGGGAATATAAGTTGGTGCAGCCACTGTGGAGAACAGTATGGAGGTTTCTCAGAAAATGAGCATTCTTACTCCTGGGCAAATATCCAGGCAAAATTATAATTCAAAAAGACACATGCACCTCAATGTTCACTGTAGCACCATTCACGACTGTCAAGACATGGAAACAACCTAAAGGGCTATCAACAGATGAATGGACAAACACATGGTACATATGTATATAATGTAATACTGCTCAGCCATAAAAAAGAATAATGCCATTTTCAGCAACAGTGGTTGGACCCAGAGATTATCATACTAAGTGAAGTAAGTCAGACAAAGACAAATATCACTTGATATCACTTACATGTCAAATCTAAAATATGACACAAATGAACTTATTGACAAAACAGAAACAAAGATTGCCAATTTACAGTACCAAAGGGGAAAGACGGGAGGGATAAATTGGGAGTGTGGGATGAGCAGATACACACTGCTACATGTAAGAAAGATGAACAAGGTCCTACTGTACAGCACAGGGAACTACATTCAATATGCTGTCATAAGCCATAATGGACAAGGTATGAAAAAGAACATGTGTGTATACATATGACTCAGTCACCGTGCTATATGCCAGAAACAACACTGTAATCCTTACTATAATAACTTTTAAAAAATTATCCAACTAATAATTAAAGACCATAACAAGTGAAAAAAAGAAGAAAAGAAAGAAAAAGAATGCACTTACAGGCCGGGATGCAGTCAGGGGTAGCTGTGGGGCATGCGCCACCAGAGCCCCCCACACAGGCAGTTCTTGATCCAGCGCTGTTCCCACTGCTTGACAGCGGTGGTCTTGTTGGGTGACTTGAGCATGGTGACGCAACCGCACCTGCAGATAGAGCAAGCAAGTGGGTGGGATGCTAGGCAAGCCAGCTGTAGCCACAGGGCCTGGCACATGCTACGCCACCTCAGGAATGGTGTTCCCTGCAACCCTACACCCCCACAGTGAGCTAATTACGCCACATCCTTCCATCCCCACTCAATACCACCCCTCACTTCCCTGAGTGGACAGAGGCTGGGCCAACCCTAGTGGTTGACCCTGGGGTCATCTGGCAGCAAGCAGGACCACATCTGCACACAGAGCAGCACTGAGGTGGTCACTCCTCCATTTCTGCCCTTGTCAGGTCACTGGGAGCCCCAAGAGGGCAGGCTTGGGCCAGCCACTCGCCGCCACCCCCCTACCTCGGCCCCACCCTTTATGAAGACCGCCAGGGATACCCGCTCAGGAGCCCCAGAGAGACACACTCCTGGGACCCTGGCTCGTAGGCTGGGAAGCTGCCAGAGGCGGAGCGGAACGGCGTCTCCTGCAGCTGCTCACCTGGTACAGGCCTTGCAGGCCTCCGTGGGGTAGGCGCCCAGGTGCAGTCTCCGCAAGTGGTCCATCTTGGGCTGGCCAGGCGCCCTGATGGAGATGAGCAGGGGAAAGGCTCGGGGATGTGTACATGCACATGTGCACACAAGCACTGGTGCACACGTGCATGCACACACACATGCACACATGCACATGCAGACACAAGCGCATGTGCACATACAGCCGTACAGGTCGATCTCCTAGAAGCAAAGCGTGTGTGAGAACAGAGAGAATCCAGGAGCCGGGCTTCTACACAACCTCTGTCCACAGGCCCCCACTGAGGGTGGCGCTTGGAGCAGAGTGGGGCAAGCCCATCAGGATTCCTGAGGCTGGGGCACTCGTATCACACAAGTTTGAAAACCGAGAGTGTGAAAGCCCTTTGGCGACCAGCCACCTCTCTGTGTAAAGTGTTTCCTGAAACTCGAGCACAAACCACAGTGTGTGATTCATCAGGCCGTTCCTCCCACGGCTTTAGAGATGAGAAAGAAAATCCGGAAGTGGAGGAGGAAGGCCCAGAGTCTTCCCGGGGGGGAGGGGGGCTGTGGGGACACTAAGGCCCCTCCCCAGTAAAGGACTCTCCCCAGTAAAGGACCACTTGATAATCCATCCCATGACACCTTGAATGGGAGGTGGCCTGTGGGGTCCTAGGTTTGCCTTCTGGCCTGGTGTCTATCTCTGGACTGCACCTCGGAGATTGAGTTTACCTGCCTGTAAAGTGGGGACAAATCCTCCACCCAGGGTGCTGCTCCCTCAGCAGGCCTGGGCTTTCTGGACTCCGCACATCCAAATAATGGCCCCTGAGGTCACTCCCAGCCAGGTCTGCCTAAAAGTGTTCTGCTTCCTGGGGCCTTGGGACCTGCCAGGCACTCTGGGCTGCAGTGCGATTTATGGTGGGGGCTTGGGGTGTGAACCTGAGCTCCAGAGGGGCTGGAGCCTGAGTAACCAAAGTTGGCGACATGGGCCCTCCATGTGGGCCGAGACAGGCCAGGGGGAAGATGATGTCACTCGGACAAGCAAGGACACAAATCAGTACAAGCCGATGACCTGTACACTTTAGTACAGTATAGTGCCTGGATGGAGGGAAGTGACAGGGCAGGGGAGGTGGATGGGGAGGGGAGGAGTCTGGGGGCAAGGAGGAATATCAGGGGCAAGGGAGGGGAGGAGTATTGGGGGTAGCACTCAGGTCAGGCTGGAAGGAAGCAGCAGGCACAGCACAGGCAGAGGCCCTGATACAGACATGTGAGGGGGAATGTCAGGCAGGTCTAGGGGAGACCCTTCTGGAAGAAAGGGTATACAGGGCCCTGACTCAGAGGTGGGTGCGCATACCTGATGAGGCCGTCCAGCTGCAGGCCGGTGGAGCCACCAGGCAGAGCAGGGGCCTTGCCAAAGTGCAGGCGCAGGGGCTGCTTGGGCTGCAGGCGACTGACCAGTCCGTCACTCACAGGCAGCCAGTCAAGGCTGGGGATGAGTAGCTGGCTGGGCAGCAGACAGCACTCATCCACCAGCGCCTCATCTGGCTCACTTGTGGGACCCTCGTCACGACCTGTGGGGGGAGCAGGGGACACAGGACATCATGCTTAGCGGCCCTGCCCACCAGGAGGCATCACGGCCTCCTCTAGGCTCACAGAGTGCTAGGTGCAGGCCCTAGCCCTGCCCTGACTTCGTGAGGAGCCTGGGAAGCTCCTCCCCCTTCTCGGGCCTGGTCCTTTCCTCTGTAAAATGGGGACCCACTTATTTTCATTTAAAAAATGTGCAGCGAGTCCTGGGTGCCCTTCTTGGCATCAGGGAGCAACAATGACAGAGCCTGGTCCCAGAAACACATGACACAGAACAACTAGGAGCTTAAGAGTGGCTGAGGTTTACTGAGCACCCACGCTGTGCCTGGATCTGTGCCAGGTGCTGGGGAAGCAGTAGGGGGGCCACAACAGAGCAAATTTGACCTATGGGAGATTATATTATGGTGGGGGGACTCAGCCAGGGCTTGTATTTTGGGGGGGAAATGAGAGAAGAGGAGCAGGTGTCTTACAGCAGATCCAGAGCTTGGTGAGCAGGCGAAAGAGCAGGGACATGCTGTCCTGAGTGTCTGAGGTAGCTGTGTACACAGGCAGGCAGCTGGGCTTCAGCAGGCCCCAGATGCGGATGACAACCATCAGCTCTCGCAGCATGCCCAGTGACGTGCCATCCCGCAGGAAACTGTGGCCTGGTCGCAGCGGGGAGCCCTATGGGGAGGAAGGTTCTGTTTGTGCGCTTTCGTGTTTCAGCATTCCAGGACCTCTGTGAGTTGGCGTCAGATGGCCTTTGGGGAGGGGTGGGGCCAAGGAAGTGGGGCTTCTGGGAAGAGCTGAGCCGGAGGAGGTGGGGTGGAGGGGCACACCTGGTTGGGCAAACTGGCCAGGAGGTAGAGCACAAAGTCGCCCACCCACTGCAGGAGCTGCTGCAGTGCCTGGAGCGTGTTCATGTCCAGAACGAACTCTTCCGTCTTGAGGTTGATCATGACCTTGTCAATGTCTGGGAGGGGACAGGCAGTCAGGGGAGGTTGGGACCTCAAACGGGGACCCTGGAGGGCAGGGCTGGAGGGAGAGGCTCCGGATACCCACCACAGGACTTCAGGACACCCCGACGCCCCTTGGACCCCTTGTGCAGGACAACCTGGAGTTCCTGCCGGCCTCCAGGCGCCCACACATACAGTGCCCCTGGGGATGCCACCCAGGCTGCCTCATCTTTGTTCCCAGTAACAGCCACCATGTGTCCCCACAGGTAGTGGTGGTGGGAGGGCTGCACATGCGAGACACCTGAGAGATCCTCCCTGGCAGACAGCAAGGGCACTTGGAGGGTGGGGGTGGGACCCAGGGTGGCCTGCAGGGTGGAGCTGGACCCACCAACGTCTGTGATCTTGGCACAGATTTCGGTCAGCCGGTCGCCAGGACTTTTGTCAGGTGTGTTGAGCACGTGCGGGCGCAGCAGTGACTTGAGCGTGGAGCTGATGGCGATGAGGAAAAGCTTTGCGTGGTAGTCGCATACGCGAGTCACCGTGCAGGGAGACAGCTTGCACAGTGAGGCTTTCATGGCCAGGATCCGGGTGGACAGGACCTGGGGGGCCAGGACGTGAGCGGGTGGAGCTTGCGCCTCGGGGTGGGGCCAGAGCAAGGCGCTGGGCCCAATGGGCAAGGGGCTAAACCTCTGGACCTTGCCCTCCTTCTGGAAAAATCAAGTAGAACCTTCCCTCACAGGACAGCAGGGTTTCAACCTGTGGGTGGGTCTACCCCGGGGCCAAAGGGCCGCATTTGGGATCCCAAATCGGGAGTCAAAGGGCCACATCTGGGATCCCTAACGATTTTGGGGTGCCTGGCATGAAGTGGGTGGGGGCAGAGATGCTGCTCTGCCCCTTACCCCACCTCGTTCCTTGACCCTGATGTCTCCCGGGATGCCATGACTGAAGGACTGCAAGCATCAACATGCTCACACACAGCTCAGCTGAGCACTGAGCGGTTGGTCACTAGCGGGGTTCCTGGCTCTGAAGCCAGCTCCCTCCTGTGCAGTTCACGCTGGCAGCACCCTCTCACATCTGAGCCCTCTCATGTCTGAGCACCGGACGTCTGAGCCCTCGCATATCTGAGTGGGCTGCTAAAAACCATGCGACCTCTCCTTCCTATTTCCTCCTGGTGTTGGAGACTGGGGCACAGAGGACAATTCCGGATTCCTAGCAGTGCTGACCTCAGGGAGGCTGTAGGTTTGCAGTTACGCCCAGTGGCGTCTGGGGGATCATTTCTCCCTGCCCCTCCCATCTTTAAAACTCGAGGTCACTGTTCTTAACGCAGGGGCAAAGGCCTCCACTGACATGCAGAGGCAGGTGCAGCCAGGCCCGCAACCGCGCCCTCCCGGGCTGAGAAGGCAGCGAGGTGGGCCATCTGACCCACAGGGAGGAAGGGGGCCCTGGGGGAGGGAGGGGATGAGCCGGCACCTGCTGCAGCTCGGCCTTCTGGCGCGTGTACTCCTCGTGCAGCTTCTCCACCAGGCTCTGCACCATGCCGGGCTGCACGTGCAGCAGGATGTCCCACCAGTCGTAGCCGGTCACCATGCAGTACTCCAGCAGGAAGAGCAGGTGCCGCAGGGCCAGCCCCACATCCAGTGAGTGGCCCATGGATGGCGAGATACGTAACATGCTCAGCTGTGGGGAAAGGACGGGGCGTGAGAGGCGGGGTCTTGAGGGGATGGGAGTCTGAACGCCAGGGACAAGGAGGGCTCAGCCCATGTGGGGTCCTGGCCTGCCTGATCTCCTGTCACATGGGAGGGTTACAGAGCCACAGCCTGTCCAGGTGGCATGAACGGAGCCCTTCCCACCAAGGGTGCGCCTGTGGGGTGGCAAGACCTCCAAGTCTACCTGGGGGCCGCATGGTCCTCCCCACCATGCCAAACCCATCCGTACCCCGCCCACCCAGGATGCTGAGGGCAGGGCCAAGTAGGTGCACTGCCCGATAGCTACTTCCTGGGGAGTAGGGGGCACATGCATGTGTGAGCAAGTGTGTAAACACATGTAGATGTGTGTAAGCAAGTATGAGTGGGTGTGAGAGGCACCTGTCCTCCTGACAGGCCACGGCCGGGTTCCTCTGAGAGCCAAGAGGCCAACACAGGGCACCTGCTGCACATGTGGGGGAAAGGGGGGGGGTCGGAACTAGAACCCGACATGTGAGGAGAAGCCACCCTAAGGGCCCCACCTCCTGCGCAACCCCCGCAGGCCACAGGCCTCACCCTGCAACAATGACCGCACCCCACAGAGGCACGGGGCTCCCCTCACTTTTGGCACCCCTAGCACAGCACTGACCCTGCCGTGGTTGTCAATGCCCACGAGGGCCAGGGAGGTCCAGGAGAGTTGCATGGCCTTGAAGTGGACGGCGGGGCCTGTGGTCCGGGGGCGCTTGAGAGCCGGCTCGTCCACGGGGCGCGGGGCGGCGGAGCTGTAGAAGATGGCCATGGTCTGCAGCGAGAGCCGGTGCACGATGTGGACACTGCCGTCGTGGAAGGCCAGGGCCAGCCCTGGGGGCACATGCAGGTCAAGCGGCCGAGCCCAGCCTTGGACAATGAGAAGTGGCTGCACCGTGCCCAGCTTGTTAGCAACCTCATAGCCTTTCGAGCTCACTGGATATCAAGAGCAGTGTCCTCACCCCCACTAGGACTGACGTAAGACTGGGCCAGGTTCCCATGACCCTGAGACTGGAGGTGAAGTCACAGTGCACCCCTCCCTCTGACCCCCAGGAACCCCAAGACACTGTACCGAGGCCAGGGTAGAACTGGGTGTCACTGGCCACTTTCAGGTCAGTGTTGGTGAGCGAGATGGGCAGTTTGGGCAGCGCCACAGCAGACACACGGTCCAGGTCATTGGTGGCCGAGAGAATCCGCCATTTGAGAATTGTGGGCTGTTTGTCGCCAACTGAAAGGGGGTGTGGGGGACAAGGGGCAACAAAATGAAGATGAAACTGAAACACAACAAGGGTGGACTGGACCCAGTGCCCTTCCCCTCCTGGGGCCCCCAGCTAGCTCATAGGAGCATGGAAGGGGGGTGGGGGGCCCCCACAGGGCCTGGTGGGCCTTCACAGGGACGGGAGGAGGTGTCTGCCTGGGCAAGAGACTGTCAGCTTGCAGGGGTGGCCACCTTGTACCCTCAAAGGAGCCAACACGCCAAGGAGGGGAACCCATCCCAGACCTTGCTGCCACACAAACCCCACAATTCTCCTGTGGACTTGGCTGGTCTGCACAGGGTTCTCTGACCCTGTGGTCCGAGAGGTCCTGGGTGGACCCCAGCTCTCCTCAGGAGGTGGACAGACAGGCCCCTCCCGGGACCCACACCCTCAGTGCCACAACAAAGCTCCCCAGCAAGAGGCGGGGTGGTTTCCATCTATCTGGGCTTGGTCCCTGCATGCTGTGAACATGATGTGGGCAGAGGTGCCTGGACACTAAGGTGACTCTGAGACAAGCCCAGGCACCCAGCCGGTGGCCAGCATTCCAGCTGCCCTGGGGGACCAGCAGACTCAGGGAAGCAGGCCAGAGTAGTGAGGCAGCCCGACCCAGGAGTGTTCAGCTGTGTTTCTGAAAGAGTTTGAGGCTGGCTGTGACAGCACGCCTCTGCGCCCACCTGTCCTGAGAGCTCTGCCCCAGACGTCTCAGCATGAGGGGTCTCCTGGAAAATGTCATCCCACAGGGAGACAGAGGCCCAGAGACGGGCGGCACTGAGCAGAGCTGTCAAGGTGACAGCCATGGTGGTACCCAGAGAGGGCATACGTTCAGGCCAGGCCCGCACCAGCTGCCCACACTGGCTTCCTGACAGCCTTGGCCGTTACTAGGTCACAGAGGAGAGTGGCCGCTGTCAGAGGCTGAACAGCTTGCCTGAGTCTACCTGGACCCACTGTCCACCCAAGTCAGGCCACCCCCTCTACTGTAGGCTGGACGGTGGCTGGTAGAGTGGGGCTCGGGGGAGATCAGTGTGGGCAAAGGTGAGGAGGAAGGGACAGGAGAGGCAGGTCTAAGAGCCCACAGGGCTGCAAGGCTGGGACAAGGGGTGGGGTGGGGCTGCAGGTGAACTCAGCGGAGACCCTTCAGCACCTGGATGCCTGCCTCGGGAAGAGGCTCCACCAGGACGGGAGGGCTTTCTGCGTGAAGGCTGGTCTTACTGTGACAAGGTCCCAGGGCGGGACTGCAGGGCAGGTGGGGAGCAGGGCCAGCCTGGGACTCGAGAAGGGCCAGGACCCCACTCAGGAGGTGCAGCCCGACCATCCTCACACACCTCCTCTGGGGCCGTGTGGAGCAGCGTATGTAACCCACCTGCGGGCGGATGGATCTCAGGGGCCTCTTGACTCAGGCCAGTCACTCCAGGGCCATAAGCGCTACTGGCAGCGGGAACACCCCTGGGCTATGTGGCCGTGGTTCACCCCCGGCATCTCAGCCACATGGTTGTCAGGAAGCAGGCCCCTCTGGTGGGGACGTGGGGCTCCGCATGGGTGCAAGGTCAGAGAGGGAGGGAGAGGTGGGCACGTTCTAGCAAACTCAGGTCACCCCTGCGCCGCCTCGCTGTACCGAGGGTAGTCTGAGTGTGCCTGGCCACCTGGGTGACTCACCAGCCGGTGAGAGCTGCTGGAAAATATTATTCACAGGGAGCCCCTCCTTGCGCAGTGACCAACACTCCACCACACTGCTCGTCTGGCTGGATGCACACAGCAGCACCTAGGGGTGGATGCGTGGTGAGGGGCCTAGAACAGCCCATGGCCTCTACGGGGTTCTAGCTCGTCTTGGAGCTCACATGCCATTGTGAGTCCAACCCAGGTCTGCCTGGCCTGCGTCTGCATCTGCCCACCCATTGCCCACACTCCCCTGGGGAGTGCTGTGCTGTGCTGGGGGCAGTTATCCATGGTGCCCTGGCAGGAAACAAAGGTACCAGGGAAACACATCAGGGACTGGTGAAGCTAGGGCTGGTCAGCACAAGGCTATGAGGGACCTCAGGGAACCTGGTGCAGGTAGCTCAACTTTGCCCCCAGAGACCCCCCCTATCCTGGTCTTGGGACCTGTGGATACATCACCTTATGGGGCAGAGGGGACTTGGCAGCAGGGATTAAGCTAAGGCCCCTGAGATAGGGATGACCCTAGATTCCCCAGTGGGAGTCATCACAGGGTCTTTATAAGAGGGAGGCAGAGAGTCAGAGGCAGAGAGACGGGAGATTTGCACTGTTGGCTGTGAAAATGGAAAGAAGGGCCGTGAGCCAGGGATGCGGTCTCTCTATAAGCTGGAAAAGGCAGGAGCCTCTGGAGGGAGCAGCCCGGCCCAGGCGTGGGTTTAGCCTCGAGGTGGCGGGGCGGGCTCACCTGCTCTGACATGTCGCGGGCCAGGAACTTGAGGTGGGTGATGGCGGGCAGCCGGTCGCGGCGGCTGAGATCAGTGGTGCAGCGCATGAAGAGCGAGGGCAGGAGCTCGGTGTCGATGCGGCACTTCTCGTTGACCACGCTCACGCACACCTTGTACAGCTGCACCGGTGATGCGCTGCTGCCATCCGCTGTGGCCACCACGATGTTGCCACCACCTGTGAAGGCGATGTCGGCCAGAGCCACGCGGCCGCGCAGCCGGCACAGGCTCTCAGTCGAGGTGAGCACCTGCCCGCTGGGCTTGAGCAGGGACACAGTGACCAGGCCGCTGACCGTGACAGCGATCCAGCCCTCCATGGGCTTGCCCCCGAACAGTGTGAGCGATGGTGAGAACTTGACGCGGGAGAACTTTTCCCCGAAGCTGGAGGCACCAGACTGTGAGGGAGGGGAGGGGTCAGCTGTAGGGGGGTGGGGGCGCCCAGTTCACGCTCGGCCTTTAGGGGTCTACCTTCATGGCCCGAGGACCCCCTCCTGGGAACCGCATCCTCAGGAACACAGAGGAACCAGGCAGCAGAAGCCTCAAGAGCCCAAGCCTGAGGTCAGATTCGGCTTCAGCCACTGAGCACTGGGTGACACGGGCCTCTCTGACCTTCAGTGTCCTTGTCTGCATGTCCAAGGACACGATAAGGAGGACAGAGCTAGATACATAAGGGACAGCAGTCAGCCGTGTTTTCTTTAGGGCCAGATAGACGTCCAGTGTTCTCAAGTGCTCAGTTCAGCCACTCGGGGCTCCTTGTGTGGGCAGTGTGGAGCATGGCCTGAGCCAGTGCACAGAGCAAGCCAGGTGCAGACAAGAATCAAGGGCTGTCACCACATCAACCACATAGGAGCTGCTGGCAACACAGATGCTGACAACTGGGTGGCAGATGTGACGGCCTGGCCCCATGAGAGGAGGAGCCAAGCCCTCCGTGGGCTTGAGGCCTGCTCCCCCAGGCAGGACACCCACCTTTTCCACGTGCAGGGCCAGTTTCACGCCGTTGTGCAGCCAGGACAAGGCCACGATGGGGTCCCCTTCCACCACGCTGCCCACGGGGCTCTCCCAGCTGTTGGCCAGGTGGTCAGCCATGCTCCAGCACTTGATCTGCCCATCAGCATCAGCTGACAGCAGACGCGAGCCTGGGGGGAAAGGGGGAGATTGGGCAAACCTGCGTCACAAGCCCAATCCCTGCAGTTCATCAGGGTTGGGCGGGCCGGCCTGGAGGTCGTAAAGCAAGGAACCAGCACAGGCGAGTCCAGAAACAGGGGCGAGAAGAGCAGAACCCTCAAAGGCACAGGTCAGGGTTTCAGGCCCCAGCTCTGAGCCCAGGGCCAAGGCCAGGAAGACAGAGAAGGCAGCCCTGGCATTCAGGGTGGCGGGCCGCCCTCACCGGACTGGTCCCACTCCAGGCAGGTGATGGCCTCGCTGTGCTCTGAGCGGATGGAGTGCACGTCCCAGGGATGCTCAGTGTCCAGGATGTGGATCATGCGGGTCAGGTCTGCGAGGGACAGTGAGGTCAGTGTGGCAACAACGGCTTGGTGCCTGACCACCCCAGGGGATCGGGGTGTCGAAGCCGATCAGGAAGCGTCAAAGCCTGGCTGCAGGGACTCCAGAAAATGATTTATACACAGGCAGCCCAAGGGGAGACAGCAGGCCCATCACCCCGCCTCCTGTGAGGTTACAACTGTGCTTTCAAAATGGACCCAAAACAGTAACAGCAGGTGTTGCTCCATGGAAGGTTAGGGTTCTCCTCATCCTGAAGTTTCACGTTTTCCTAATTCCCTCTAAGAAGTGCATATTGTTCTGTGGTGGGAAGAATACCAGCCCTGCGGCAGAGTGCACCGCAAAGGTGGTGGTGACACGTGCGGCTGGAAAACTCCTGAAGGAGCCTCAGCAAGCCACAAGCAGTCACCGTCCCCCCTCCCCAGTGCCCCGCAGCCGTGGCCATTCCTCAAGGTTATCTCTGTGCCCCTCAGCACCCCCGTCTCAGAGGAGGAAACACCATGGGAGCTGGGGGGGAGGGCCCTATGAGGGGGCCTGGGATGGGGGGTGACACACCCTGGTCATCGCTGCGCAGGTCCGTGGTGAAGGCGATGAGGTTGCGGCAGGACCAGGTGCAGGCTAGGGGACCCGAAGGGCAGTGGGTGCTCTTGGGCCATTTCTCCCACTCACAGATGTAAGCCAGGTCCATGGCGCCCAGCTGCCAAGGTCATACAGGGAGGACAGTCACCAGCTCCTACAAGAGGGAAGACAGGCTTGTCATCCATCCTCACAGGGTGACTGCAGGGCCCCGAGTGCAGTGGTGGATGCTGGTTACCGCGGGGGACAAAGTGGACTCAACCCCTGCCCGGTGTGTGGCCGGGGAGCTGCGTTTTACACAAGCATGGCCAGGGATCAATCCATGCAGCTGGGAGGAAGAGCATGTCAAGTGGAGAGAACAGCCAGTGCAAAGGCCCAGAGGCTTGACTGAGTCTGGGGTGCTCAAGCAGTGTCAGGCCGCAAAGCAGGAACAGAGTGAGTGGGGGGGGGGTGGTGGAGCAAGGTAAGGATGGGGAGGGGATGAGGTGGGTCTTGCAGGGCCTGGGGGTTTCACCTGGAGGGAGATGGGAGCCCCAAGAAGCCTGTTTCTGTTTTCCCTCTGGCTGTCTGGAAGGCACGGCTCAGGGATGGTGTAGAGGTGATGGCACTGGTTCAGGTGCACAGTGACGGGGACAGTGTAAGCTGTGACGAGAGGTAGGACCCAAGTCTACTCTTAAGAAGGAACCCGTGGACACAGGAGAACCAGTGAGGCTGCCTTAGACAGAGGCAGGAAGGCAGGGTGGGGGTTAGGCAGCAACTTGGGGCCTGGCTTCCAGAGGGACCGAAAGGGACAGTGAAGGCTTTCTCAGCAGGCTCTTAGCGCCCAGGCTCTTAGCGCCCAGCAGCGACTAAGGTTATTTCCTTTCACCTTCCCAATCACACTACCCGCTGCTCCTTAAAGCCCCGCCCCAGAACACTGAGGCCACGCCCACAAGCCCAAGCAGCAGTCTTTTTAAGCTCTGTCCCCAAAGCCCTCCGGCCCCACCCCTACAAAATGTGCTTTCCAGACCCCACTCTCAATTTGTCCCTGGCGTCCCCAGGCCCGGCCTAAACTTGTTTTTATTCCAAAGTCTCTACAACAATCCCAAAGCCCCTTCTCCACACACCAGGCCACCCAGGACCCGCCCCAACCCACCCGACAGTCCCTAAGCCCCGCCTCAAATGCATCCCAGGCCCTCCCCGGGGAGGTACAACCTTAGGCCCTCCCCGATTTTCCACCGCCCACCCCAGGACGCTTCAAGTCACCCTAAATTTCCGCCACGACCCCCAGACCACGCCCAGCGCAATCAGGGAGCGTACCCAGCACCCTCTGCTCTCCAGGACCGCCCTCTGACTCCACAGGCCCTGCTCCGACTCACAATCCCAGCAGCCTCGGCGCCATCCTGAGGCTGGCCGACTGCCCAAGCACCCAGCCCTGCACTCACTGGACCAGCCTGTACGCCCACCGAGAAGGAGGCTGCCGTCTGCATTCGCTCTAACACCCCGGCTCCAGCGCCACCATCTTCCCAGAACCAACTAGTCTCCCGCGCAGCCCGGCTGCTTCCCGGAGACTTCTGGGACGGCAGTGGCTCCGCCCCGCTTCCGGGGTATTTTGCATACGACCGTGGCTTTCCAACAGACATCTGCGTTATATTTGGTGGAAACAACAGTTTCTCAATTTAAGTGAATAATCGCCTTAGATTAAGTTATGATTGCACTAATTTCGTAAAGAAAAGGGGAGAATTGGCGGATTGGTTTTTTTAATAGAATTCACCATCGCCGTAAAGTATTTGATTCTGTCTACTATAAATAGTTCTGGGGTCTACTTAGGGTTTGTGCTCGCTTCGGCAGCACATATACTAAAATTGGAACGATACAGAGAAGATTAGCATGGCCCCTGCGCAAGGATGACACGCAAATTCGTGAAGCGTTCCATATTTTGCCTTTTTTCCACGATATCTAGCCAAGGTGGTGTTAACTCCTTCATAAGCAAGGTAACTTAACCTATCAAGGGCCTGTAGAGTCAGTCTCCATCCTCAATTCCTCCTCCAAAAGCTGACGGACTCTCCCCAGTTTGTAATGTCTTTTCCAGAAAGACCTGGGATTGATTGCAGGGAAGGGTACACCAAACAGAAGGCAACACCTGAACAAAGGTCTGGGGGCCGGGCTGTCTAGGGACGCGTGGTGTGGAAAACCCACACAGCCAACCAAGACCCTGGGCAGGACAGAGTCCGCGTGGGTCTGGAGGCAGCGTGTGGGCTTGCCCTGGGCCCCACATCCGTGCCCTGAGCCCCAGCCGGTCTTCTCAGTTCAGTTCAGCCGCTCAGTTGTGTCCGACTCTCTGCGACCCCATGGACTGCAACATGCCACGCTTCCATGTCCTGTCCATCACCAACTCCCGGAACTTGCTCAAACTCATGTTCATCGAGTCGGTGATGCCATCCAACCATCTCATCCTCTGTTGTCCCCTTCTTCTCCTGCCTTCAATCTTTGCGAGCATCAGGGTCCTTTCCAGTGAGTCAGTTCTTCGCATCAGGTGGCCAAAGAATTGGAGCTTCAGCTTCAGCATCAGTCCTTACAATGAATATTCAGGACTGATTTCCTTTAGTTGACTGGTTTGATCTTGCAGTCCATGGGACTCTCAAGGGTCTTCTCCAATACCACAGTTCAAAAGCATCAATTCTTCAGGGCTCAGCTTTCTTTATGGTTCAACTCTCACATCCATACTGGAAAAACCATAGCTTTGACTAGACTGACCTTTGTAGGCAAAGTAATGTCTCTGCTTTTTAATACACTGTCTAGGTTGGTCATAGCTTTTTTTCCAAGGTCAAGCTTTTTTTCTAACTTTTCCCCCAAGTCTTTTAATTTCATGGCTACAGTCACCATCTGCAGTGATTTTGGAGCCCAAGAAAATAAAGTCTGTCATGGTTTCCATTGTTTCCCCATCTATTTGCCATGAAGTGATGGGACCTGATGCTAAGATCTTAGTTTATTGAATGTTGAGTTTTAAGCCAGCTTCTTCACTCACCTCTTTCACTTTCAAGAGGCTCTTTAGTTCCCCTTCACTTTTTGCCCATAAGATGTCCTCTGGGCACTGGAAATTCAGTGCCCTTGGCAGGTGGGGAAACTCCAAGCTGGTTATTCAAGTATTAATATTTCTTTGTGTCCTCCTAACAAGTGCTTTGGGCTTTGCTGGTGGCTCAGAGGTTAAACTGCCTGTCTGCAATTTAGGAGACCTAGGTTCAATCCCTGGATCGGGAAGATTCCCTGGAGAAGGAAATGGCAACCCACTCCAGTATTCTTGCCGGGAGAATCCCATGGACAGGGGAGCCTGGTGGGCTACAGTCCATGGAGTCACAAAGAGTCAGACTCACTGAGTGACTTCACTTTCTTTAACAAGCCCTTGGGAGTTCCATTATTTAGTATCTACATGTAAAACTTTTTCAATACCTGTTAAAATAGAAGAAAGCAAACACAGCACCCACATCTTGGTTTCTAAAACATGCCCCCAGGGAAAGGAACCAGGCTCCTTGGCAAAATGGCTGGTTCTAGGATGAAGCAGGAATATACCAAGAAGCCCTGTGCATCTCGTAGCAGCATAAAGTAAGGCCGTTTCTCAAATAAATAAATAAATATAGAGGTGCCTCAGTGAGACACAGGAGCCATTGAAGGGGCTCCCAGAAGCTGAACCTTGAACACTCTAAGCAAGAAAAAGGAATATTAGATTGCAACCCAAACTAAAAAGTAAACGCCCAGGCATCTGTACTGATAGAACTGGTTAAATAAACACTGAATACACAGGGCAAGAGAAAAACCTCTCCTGGGGAATTTTCAGTAATTAACATAAATATTCCACCTTCAGACAGGTGGAGATCAGCAGAGGTCAGTAGCGAGGACCCCCATGGAAAGCATGGAGCTGTGGTGTGGCTCCATGAGAACAGCAGAAAACCCAGGCTAAGGGGCCCTGCAGGACACAAAGCCAGTCCCAGACACACACAGATGGAAGACATGGGCAGGAAGCCATGTGAAGACAGAACCAAAGGCTTGAAGGTTGTGGTCACAAGCCAAGGGAGGCTGGAGCCCCTAGAAGCTGGAAGAGGCAGAGAGGATCTTCCCCTGGAGTCTCCAGAGGGAGGAGGACACTGGGACACCTTGATCTTGGACTTCCTGCCTCTAGAACTGGGTGCCAATAAATTCCTGTTTTGTTTTTTGCCAGGTCTTAGGTGCAGCATGCACAATCTATTTCCCTGACCAGGGATCAATCCCAGGCCCCCTCCACTGGGAGTGCCGTCCTAGACACTGGACCACCAGGGAAGTCCCTCAAATTTCTGTGGTTTTTAAATTGCAGTGTGCTGTATTGTGTTTAGCCACTCGGGAAGCTCACACAAGTGACCTTTTGGAGGTCACACAGGTGGTAGGTTGAAGAGTTGGAGTTTCAGCCTGGGCACCCAGGAGGAGACCAGCAAGGGTAGCATAGCCAAGGGCCAGGATCTCCTGGCAGAGTCTTCACACACACCTGCCTCCACCTGTGGTCTCACTCAGCACCAGCCTTCTTCTAAGGCCTGCATCCCTCAATGACCAGGACCCAAGGGTATCATGAGTGCCTGGAGCATCCCCCGCCCTGCCCCAAGGGAAAACCCTAGAGCGAGAGACCAGAGCACCAGAAATTTATTGAACACTCTGCTTTTCCCAAAGCACAACTAGCCACACCCATGGGGGTTGTGGGAGGGGGAGTGGGGCAGTCTCCCAGTCCTGCTCTCCTGGGCCAGGCCAGAGTGACCAGCAGGAGGACACCCCAGAGCCAGGCTGGGGGTGGAGGACACAGAGAGGGGAAGAGGACAGTCTGAGGGTGGAGGCTTCTGTCTGGAAGTCCCATGTCCCCAGTACAATGGGAGAGGAGTGTGTAGAGCAGATGGGGCCCTAAGAGCAACCAAAGGGCACCAGGAGGGCAACACATGTTCCCCAAAGAGGGTGACACCATTTTTTAAGATGAAGCTCCTGTCCTGGGTCGCGGGGAACACACAGACTCAAGCACGCACACACACATACACAAAAATGTTACACTCCTGGGAAGAGGGGCGGATCCCCCAAGACCCAAGCCAAAAACTGGGAAAGGGTCAAGCAGGGACTGGAATGAAGCCCCCCGATTTATCACTTAGGGTGAGTTTTTGTTTTTTGCTTCTCAAAAGGGATATGTAAAAATCTACAACAAATCATGCCAAATTCATTAAGAATGATAAAAACCCAGCCTCTCCCTCCTCACTTAAGCATCACACATGGCCAAAATCGCCGACTGAGGAGGTGGCAGGGAAGTGACCAGGCTGGGTGCCTCCTCCCCAGTCGGAGCCCGGGGGCAGATAGCGCAGGCAGCCCAGCCACCAGCTTTATTCTGGAAAGCTGGGCCCGGAGGGGGCGGGGGCCACCCCAAGGGGAAGAGCACGTTTCCAAGGGAAAATTCTAAAAATAATAAAAGATATTTGAGCGGATGGTATTGGAGGTCTTGGCGCTGGAGGTGGGGATGGGGGTGGGGCCGCCATCAGCTGTGCTGCTCCAGGTAGGCGGACAGGAGCAGCCCTGGTGGCAGGAAGTCCAGGTGGCGATTGCTGACCTTCATCTGTCGCTTGCCCTCCAGGTCAGCGCCTGCAGTGGAGACAGGCAAGATCGGGAAGAAGGCGAGGGTGCTGGCACCCAGGGACCCAGCCCTTCGCCCACCCTGCAGGAGGTTCCTGCGAGTTAGGTTGCCCCACCCCCCCAGGTCCCAGGACAGTGTATTCAGCAGCTCCTACTTCCAGCCTGCCTTCCCTCTGCCAGCCTGTTCCCTTCTCTCCCGTTACTTATCCCATGTCCTAATGACACCCAGATGCACTACTGAGACACACTGGCCCGATGTCAAGGGGACTAAACAAGGGTCCTGCCCGCTTTGGTCTCCCACCCCCTCAGAGGAAACTCCAGGCCCTGGGTGACTCAGTCCCCACTGACCTCCCTTTTCCCAACTCATGTCACCCCAAAACCTGAATATAGCAGTACATAACCCAAGCTAGGCCCACCTCCCGGCCTCTGCCCTGGCTGTTCCCTCTCCCTTGATCCCCATATTCCAGGGCCATTCTCCTATGTTCAGGCCAGGGTCCCACTCTGGCAGAGAAGCACCCCCAGCCCAGCCCCTCCATGCCAAGTCAGTGGGCACAAAAGCAAGTGTGGGGGCTATACCTCCCTCGGAGCCATCCTGAGGGGAACCATCTTGGGGTTGTCATGGAAACTGTCTCCTCCGCAACTCTGGGCAGGAGACAGATAGGCCTGGAGAGTGTGAACCCTGTGGGATGCCAAGGGCCATGAAAGGCCTGCAAGGACCCTCCCTGAGGGGACTTTGTCCCAACAGCATCCCCATTGAAAAAGGGGGTGCTGGCCCCTGGAGGGGAGACTTGCCAAATGTCACACTTGTGGCACAGTGGAGGCAGGCTACAGCTAAGTGAGAACTCTACAGACATTGGGGTCCCCTCATCTCATCTCAGGGTCCCTGGAAGCTCCACATAGGCCCCTGAAGATGCAGACAGAGGCAAATCTGTGTCCACAGCATCATCCATAATGGGGACAGAGGTACAGGAGCTGCTGTTGAATTAAGGAAGCATCCCCCTGTTACCTTTGTGCTCATGATGTCCCTCCTCCCCTGACGCCTGTTGCCGGGTGAACAGACTCCGGTAAGCCCAGCCTCAGTTTCCCTGGAATAGAATCAGCTAACTGGGGCCCAGGGGCCACCAGGTACTTACTGGCTGAGATGAGATCCATGTATTGGCAGATGGCATGAAGCAGGAGCCTCTCGAAGCTGCAGAAAATGGGTGGTGAGTGGCCTGAGCTGGACACCCTGGTGGGGGGGGGGGCGTGCCCACTGCACCTGCCCCCACACATTCACCTGTTGTCCAGCATGGCCGTGTACACGGCCTGGGGGGACACAGAGAAGAACCTCAGCAGCCGCTCCTCCCAGGTCTCCAGTGTTTCCTGCAGGAGAGACAGGTCCAGCGGTCAGGCCAACTGTGGCACGCTGGTCCCCCAAATCCATGCCAGCCTCTGGAGCCCAAAGCCTTGAGTTCAAATGTGGCCTCTGACTCACTACATGAAGCTACTTAACTGTTTCCAAGGATACCAGGCACTTAGACATATCCACTCTTGAATGTCTCAGCCTTCTGCCTGGTGAACTCCTACACATCCTTCAGTACCCAACTTCCTTGCCCCTGCCGCTCCCACCCTCAAGGAGAGTCCTTGCCCTGCCCTGAGTCCTGCACTCAGATCACATTGGTCTGTATCTTGCCCATCTTCTCCATCACACCCCATTCACTAGGTTTCTGGTCTCCCCTCAACCCAGCCCCCAGCTGAGAAGTTGAGAAAAAAGGCCTTCAAGAAAGACCAAAGACAAAGAGAGGCAAGAAGGAGACAAGGTCAAGGCCGGGGCCTGGTACTCACCATGGGAATACGGCTCCGCTTGAGGACAGCTCGCAGGCGCCTGCTGATGCGTTGGAAGCACTCCCGCGGCGTATAGGCAGGGTCCTCTGAGAGAGTCCAAGCAGTGGGGCAGATGAGGGAGCAGAGCCCCAGGCCCCACCCACACACGAGACTCCACTCCACCCACATTGGCCCCGCCCCCACACCGGGCTCCTCCCATCTACCAAGCCCTCAGCCCACACATCAGACTCCTCCCCCACCTGCCCCGGCCCCACCCTCTCGCCCTAGGCCACGCCCCCATCATGCCTCTGCTGCCACCTGCACCCCAGATTCAGACCCACCTCTCCGCCTGTCTTCCCCGCGGGTAGGCCCCCTCCTCCGCGCCTTGCTCTTGCTCTCATCCTCCAGGTATCGGAGAACACGCTCCTGCTCCTCCCCAGAGCGGTTCATGAAGTCGTTCCAGATCTGGAAGAGAGGAAGGCAGGCCCTGACTGATGGCTGACCACTCTCAAGCCTCAGTTCCCCCTTTTGGCCAATGCACATGGTGGGGCCACAAGCGCACGGAATTACTCCTCGTGGACACATTTGACCACTGGGTCAAGAGTTCGTGGATCATCTGTGTTGGGGGGTGTCAATATGGACCAAATACATCCCCAATTCTGTCAATAATTTCAAGGTAAGCAAACGAACCTCGGGTGCTGGAAGGTTCTGGGGTGGAGGGATTGCTGGCCTCTTGAGGGAGACCCAGGGACGTTCATCAAGGGACCAGAGAGGGTTCAGTGCAGGCAGTGCTGGTGGTTTGCGGGTGGGGGGGGGGACGGCGGCGGGGAGCCAGGCAGGACATGAGGCCCCACCTCCACATAGGTCTCATTGCTGCAGGCTTCTGCAAAGATGCCAGGTGCCGCGGGGGGTGCCAGGTCCCCATCCTCCGGGCCAGGTGTTCCTCCATCTGTCTCCAGCAGGGTCAGGAGGTACTGTGCTAAATGGAAACAAACAGTCTCTGGGCTGGGGGTTGCATTTGGGTCACCCCAGGCTTCATGGGGTCCAGAGGCCCATGTTTCCTCCCACCCCCCCCACCTCTATATTTAGGGCCTTTACTCTCCGGCTCACACCAGCCTCCCCTCCTCCACACTCCAGCTGTCTTCCCCAGAAGACACGGGAACCGTCCAGCCTCCAGAATTCCTCCTACATGGCCCTGGCTTGGCTTGTTGCATTCCTACACCACCTTTAGAGCCCCAATGCCCAGAGCTTCCTCACATTTTCCAGCTCAGGGCCAGTCTCAGATAACAGAACATGCACGCCATTGCTGTCTGAGGCCTAGGAGCCCCCAAGAGGCGCCCTTCGACCCCTGCTCACTGTTCTCCAGGCGCTGGAGGCTCTTCCGCCCCTTGGCCTTGGGCACGAGGTCTGAGTTCCGCACAGCCTGGTTGATGAAGTGCTGCTTCCGCCGGGAGGCCGAGAGCCTCTTCACCTGGGGGCTGGCTAGAGCGGGCAGGCAGCCCGGAAGGGGCCTGTGGGTCGGGTTCGGATGGGGGGGCAGTCCTCAGGGCCAAGATAGGCCAGGACCCCCAGGAAGAACCCTACCATCGCCGCTCTCTCACAGCCACCCTGGCTTGGTTTCCCTCTGCAGTGGGAAGCTCACCCCCATTGCACGTGGAGCCCTGGACCCTAAGAATGTCACTGTGCCACAACGCTCAAGAGGCAGATACCACTGAGGACAGATGAGTAAACCAAGGCTCACTGAAGGGAAGCCACAAGTTGGTGGGGCCGCTGAGGGGGGTGAGGGAGCTGCTCCCCGTGCTCCCAGGCTTCCAGGTTTGAGCTGTAAGCCAGTGAGGCCCCTGTCTCCTTCCTCTGGGAGTTTCTCAAGAGATTTAATTTGATGATGCATTCCTACCTGCCCCCCCCCCACCCCCAGCCTCTCACAGCAGGTAAACCAGAAAACAGCCCCCAGAAGCTAAGGCGCTGCCTGAACCTATCTGCCTTGTGCCCCCAGAGCCCCCCTGCTATGTGCTCAGGGCCTGGATGGGGGAAGCAGGCAGAGTGGCCCCCTCTGAGCACAGGTACTAATCCTGGAAATGGATTAGTGGCCCAGGCAGACCTCCCACTGGGGAAGTGAGGGCCAGGCAGTAGGTGGCTACGTGGGAGGGAGGGGGCAGGTACTGAATGGAAACTTCCTGGTAAGAAGCTGCAGGGCTGTCATGGTCAGCCCCTGACTACACGCTAAGAGGAAGGTCCCACCAGGCTCAGAAACCCTCATGCTGAGAGGCTGATGGTAGATTCTGAGCCTTGGAGGGTCTGGGGTGCCAGGACTCCCCCTTCCTTCTTGCCCTGCACTCTGGCCCTAGCCCATCAGGCACCCCCTCTGTGCTGGCTGTCCCCCACCCCACTGGATGCCCATGCCCCAGTCTCCTCACTCCTCACTCCCATCTCCTTTTGCCTTCTGTTCAAATCTCCCCAGCCCCTCACTGCTTTCTTCTCCTGATGGCTGCATCTCCTACCTCCCAGCCCACAACCCACCATGACCTCCATGCACAGGTAGGGTCTGATGTCCTTTGCACCCCTGTCTAGCATACAGTAGGTGCTCAGAAAATAATCACCCAATCAGGTCTCCAACAAAACCCCATGATTCCAAGACTGAGTAGAACCTAGAGTCCAGAATTCCACCCAAACTTTCCTGGTGTTTGGGTGATCTCAAGACACAAATTAAAACAGAAGTGTGACCCCTCATGCACAAACAGCTGCTAGAAAATGCCATGAAGCCTTAGGATATGAAAGAAGGTGCCTCAAAGAAGTTAGGAGTGAAGCCCATGCTCATTAAGGCTTATACACATAACTCCTTGAAAGGAAAGCTATGACAAACCTAGACAGCGTATTAAAAAGCAAAGACATCACTTTGCCAACAAAGGCCTGTATAGTCAAAGCTATGGTTTTTCTAGTAGTCATGTATGGATGTTTGAGAGTTGGACCATAAAAAAGGCTGAGCACTGAAGAACTGATGCTTTTGAATTGTGGCCTTGGAGAAGACTCTTCAGAGTCCCCTGGACTGCAAAGAGATCAAACCAGTCAATCCTAAAGGAAATTAACCCTGAATATTCACTGGAAGGACTGATGGTGAAGCTGAAGCTCCAATACTTCGGCCACTTTATGTGAAGAGCTTTCTTACTGGAAAAGACCCTGATCTGGGGAAGATTGAGGGCAGGAGAAGTGGGTGGCAGAGAATGAGATGGTTGGATGGCATTACCAACTCAATGGACATGAGTTTGAGGAAGTTCCGGGAGATAGTGAAGGACAGGGAAGGCTGGCATGCGGCCATACATAAGGTTGCAAAGAGTCGGACACAACTTAGCCACTGAACAAAACAGAGTCCCCAGCCGTTAAGTTTTTGCACTGGACAGAAAGCTTGTTACATCTTGATGAGGAAGAAAACAGGCTTATGAGCCCCAGCCCTGTCTCCTGAGGTTGGAGTGGGACAGACTTCATGGATGATACTATATGTTAGGCAATAATCTATGAAGAATTCGCTGATGGATAAATTAATCTGGCACAAGTACCCATCAGCGGAGACACACAATCAGTGGATAGGATTCAAGCACTTTCACTACTGGGGCCTAGATTCAATCCCTGGTTGGGGAACTAAGATCCCACAAGAAGCACTGAGCAGCCAAAAAGAAAAACAAAATAGGAGACTAGCATGCAGGCAGAGACAGGGATCAAGCCTGGTATCAGCCTTGAGCTTGAATCCCAGCTATGATACTTAATGATGTGACCCAGAGCCTCAGGTCTTTCTCTGCAAAGAAGATAAGAATGGCCCCCTGCCAGTCCAGGAAGGGCACTCAGAGCCAAGAGAAACCAGGACACACACCTCACCCCAAGCTGCCACCTGCTTGGTTTCTTCCTGTAACTGAGAGCTCACCCCCTGAGCCACAAGATTGATCACAGCAACATCCTTGGTTAAGTGACAGTCCTTAGTTAATCAATCACTGTTACAGTAGGAGGCAAATACTACTGTCCAGACACCCTTTATTCAGATTTGCAAACCAAGGAGCAAAGTCTTTATCCCAAGATCCCACAGCTGCAAAGAGAGCAGCTGGGAGAGGATGGGGCAAATCAAGTCAGCACACAGTCAATGACTCTGAGGCTGGTTGTGACCTTCCTGAGGCCTGGGCACCAACACCCCAAGCTCCAGATTCAGCTGTGGCCTCCTCAGGGCTCTGAAACCTGTGTCTCCACCCCAGCAGCTGGATGCATGCCAGGATGGTGCCTGGTGGGGCTGATAACAAGACCACATCCGGGAAGGGGGGGGGGGGGAGCTGTTGGGAACATCAGAGCTGGGCGGGACTCAGGGAGAGCCTGGGCCCTTGGGGTGTGGGGCTCCCTGTTACCTTAGGACCCAACGTGGAACCAGGGCTGGAAACTGGTCTGAGCAGGACCACTCCCGAGCCACCAGCCTCTGCTTCCCTTTGGGGCCACAGTGGGGCAAGGGGCTCAAACTCAGGTCTGGTGGGCCCCTCAGACCACACCCCACTGTGCTTGGATCTAGCTGCTCCTTGCCCTGCTCCACCACTACCTGTGGCTCCCCAGCACCCTCAAGGCAAGGCTCAGCCCCTCCCTGGCCTGACACTGCACTTGCCCCGTCCCACAGGGCTCCTGGGGCCTCACTGCTCTCTAGGATCCCAGCACTTCCAGCAGGAGCCTTGGGGCAGATAGCAGGACAGCCATGCCCCACCCTGTCTCTCCCTTTCACTCCCTCTGCTCCAGGCACTGAGTCCTTTTACTGCATTTTAAACCCACCTCAGGGACTTTGCAAGTGCTCAGCCTCCTGCCTGAAGCAACCTTTTCCTGGCTCCCAGTCTAGGCTCAAAAGTTACCTCCTGGGAGAAACCACCCTGCCCCCAAGCTGGCCCAATCAGCCCCATTTCCGGCTTCACCAGTTGGCATCAATAACCAGCTGGCCCTCACACTTGTTTACTCCTGGTTCTCACCTCCTTCACTAACCCCAAACGATAAGGACAGGGTCCCTCTCTGCCCCTGCTGGGCCCTCAGCAGCTGGCCCCCAGCAGGCTCTCAAGAGCTATTTGTTAAATGAATAGCTGAACTTTTGTTTACACTCACCAAAGTGCCAATTCAAAGTGCCACCCAAAGAGACCACTTTACAGACGGGGAAACTGACCACACAGACAGGCATCTGAGGTTTCCTGGACCAGGCAGGCCCCGGGGAAAAGTCTACACCTGGCAGGGGCCAATATCCAACAGGGATGGACGGGCCTGACAGTGGAAACAGCTGCTAAGCCAGGTTGGCCCGGGGGGAGGGCTGACAGGCTTCTTTGCCTCCGGCAACTCTGCTCCCCAGTTTTGAGACCGGCCTTTGACATCCCCTCCTCTGGGCAAAAATACACCTTCTCAGGCACTGGCCCCTCCCCCAGGGACAGGCCAGAGAGGAACCTGCTTCCCCAGCAGGAAACCAAGGAGGGCTCAGAGCGGAGGTGACTCAGGTTGGGGTGGGGCTGACGGGGGAGCAAACCACCACCCCACCCAGGACACAGAGGTGAGCGGGGTGGGGGCAGGTCAGAGGGACTCTACTGTCAGGTAAATTACCCATTTTGGGTGGTTAAGGCCCTTTAAAAGGGGGTAAATAACCACATCTGTAGACACCCGTATAGCTTCTGGGTAAATACCCTGGTGGAAGTAATAACACCAAATAAAAAATACAATAAAGCAATCATAAAATACCAAAGTGATAAAATTATTTTAAGACACCTACAACAGTAAGTTATTTAAGATAACTATCAAAGAACAGATGGTCCTCTTTGCTGGGCGCCTCCAATCGCAGGGTCACCGACCCCGGCCACTCTGAGAGGGGGCCCGTTGTTCCATTTTACAGATGGGGAAGCCGAGGCACAGCAGCGGGTACTAACCTGCCCAGGCCGCTTGGACGTGCCCACGAAGGGGCAGAAACGGAACACAAGCGGGTGGACCGCGGGAATTTCTGCATAAACACTCGGATTAGGAAGAAACCTACGACCCCTTCCCCGGGGGTGGGTGGGTACCCATATGGGGTCGTTCACCCGCTTTCAGTCTACGTCCCAGGACACAGCCTCGTGTTAACCGGCTGTGTAAGCCCCCCTTTCTTCTGGGTGTTTGCCCGGAGAAAAAGAGCGCGTCCGCCTGGAAGTTGGGGACAGGCAACCCCGACGAGTACCCAGGACCAGTGCTGGGTGAATCCCCAGCTTGGAGGCACGAACAGCCGCCAGTGGGTAAACTCCAGATCACCACCAGCGCGGTGACGGGTACATCTCGCGCAGCGGGCAGCGCCTCCCTGGAGCTAGCGATTCGGCGCCTGGGACCCCTGAGGCTCCGGGACTCCAGAGCCCCGGGCTCCGCAAACGCAGACACGGGGGTGCCCCCTGCGCTCCGGCAAGTACCCAGGCGTGATGGGGATGGGGTTTCCCCAGGAACACCTTGTAACAACAAAGCCCCTCGCCACCCAGCTCCACTCGAGTGGGGTACCCTCAGAAAAGGGGCGGGGCGGGGGCTGCCGCCCGCGAGGGGTAAGGGATGGGGGCCCCGGAAGCGCGCCCCGCCCGCCACCACGCCGCGCTCACAGCGTCCTCCGCCCGCCCGGGGCGACCCTCGCCGCCGCCGCTGCTTCCTCGGGACCGGCCTCAGGGTTCTCCAGAACGACCATAGCTTAGATGCCGCTGCCGTTGCTGCCGCCGCCGCCCGGCAGGGCCTTCTCCGGGCCGGGCAGGAAGTGACGGGCGCCCGAAGGCGGGCCAAGGCGGAGCCTGGAGGCTGGACACGCCGGGCGGGGGCCGTGGCCACGTCCCGGCCAGGCCCCGGCGGCGGGCCGGGGACACCCAGCCTCGGGGCAAGGACGGGGACACCGAGGCGGGGGGCCGCTGCCGGGCTGTGGGCCGGGCCCTCTGCCCCCGGGGGACCGTGGGGAAATTGAGGCCTCGGAGGGAGGCAGGGAGGGGACGTCCTTTTCAAATGCTTGGACAGACCTAGTGCCCCGTGCCACACACCACCCCACCCCACCCCCAGCGGCAGCAGGGCTTTCCTTCCACCAGCCCCCTCCGGGAACCTCCTTCAAAGAGCAGCCTCCGGATCCCGGCTGAGTGCCTCAGTTTACTCTACTCTAAAGATACAACGTTGAAATAAATAAATAAATAAATAAACATACAACGTTGAAAGGACTGATGCTGAAGCTCAAGCTCCAATACTTTGGCCACCTGATGCGAAGAACTGACTCAATGGAAAAGACCCTGATGCTGGCAAAGATTGAAGGCAGGAGGAGAAGGGGACGACAGAGATGGTTGGATGGCATCACCGACTGGATGGACATGAGTTTGAACAAGCTCTGGGAGTTGGTGGTGGACAGGGAAAGCCTAGCATGTTGCAGTCCATGGGTTCGCAAAGAGTCGGATAGGACTGAGCAACTGGACAAAACTGAAAAATACAACATGGACTTCTCTGGTGGTCCTGTGGCTGAGACTCCTCCAGCCCAGTGCAAGGGTCCAGGTTTGATCCCCGGTCAGGGAACTAGAGTCTGCTTGCCTCAATTAAGACCTGGCACAGACAAATAAATAAATAGAAAATAAACGTTAAAAAAAGGAACAAAGCTAGCGGCACCTTTCTTTGCCTTTTAGAATTTATTCATTTAACAAATGCCCACCGTCACTGGGATAGGGGCTAAGTCTCCAGACCCAGTGGTAATCAAACAGACCCCTTCCCCTGAGTGGGATCATGAAGAGAGGACTTTTGGAAAGAGGACTAGCATATGCAAAAGTGAGAAGGGTGCAGCAGGCAGAAGAAACAGTGTAAAGGTCCTGGGGCATCCAGGTAGCCAGAGCAGGATAATGGGAGAAAGGTTCGGGGGGGTGGGGGGTCAGTGGTGGGCAGAATAAGATAGAGAAGAGGGGACAGACCAAAGGTTGTCCTTTAATGGAAGATCTGGTTTTTGACCCAAGGGCAATGGGTAGCCAGGGAGGTTTAACAACAGAAACTTAGACCTGCTCTAGAATCTAGAATCCATCCTTCATTCCACAAGAAAAGTGGGAAACTAGGACCATGATGGGCCTTCCCAGGTGATGCTAGTGGTAAAGAACACCCCTGCCAATGCAGCTAGACATAAGAGATCCAGGTTTGATCCCTGTGTGGGGAAGATCTCTTGGAAAGGGAAATGGCAACCCACTCCAGCATTCTTGCCTAGAGAATCCCATGGACAGAGGAGCCTGGTGGGCTATAGTCCATAGGGTCGAAAAGAATCAGACACAACTGAAGCAACTTAGCACGCATGTACAGAAGACCATGATATGGGACACCAAGGGATGCAACCCACCCAGATCCAGCCTGGTGGAAGCTGTACAGGACAAATTATCACATTGCTTTAACAAGTAAAGAGCAAGAGCAGAAAAAAGAGAGAGAGGAGGAGGAACTATTACAAGACCCAAAAAAGCACACATTGTATGACCTCATGTAGATAAATGTGGAAATAAGGGAAAAAATCAAGGTGATGGGAAATGGGATCTCTGGGGACAGTGCTTGGGCAGGGTCTCTAGGTGAAGGGGCAAGAGAGAGGAGGAGGAACTATTACAAGACCCAAGAAAGCACACATTGTATGACCTCATGTAGATAAATGTGGAAATAAGGGAAAGAATCAAGGTGATGGGAAATGGGATCTCTGGGGACAGTGCTTGGGCAGGGTCTCTAGGTGTCGGGGCAATATTTGGTCTCCAACTCTAGCCCACGATGACCAGCCACTCAACAAATGTGCCAACCTGGGTCTTGACCTGATTCTTGAGCCTCATTCATTCTGTCCTCACCCTTTTATTTTCTCCCCTTGACTCATTCCTCTCCTCACCCCCCTTTTTTTTTTTTGGCAAAGGTGGGGGAGGGCAGCACAGTGGAGCATTTGGGATCCCCAACCAGGGATCAAACCGACATCCCCTGCTGTGGAACCGCAGAGCCTTAACCGCTGGACCACCAGGGAAGTCCCTGTCATCACCTTCCTAATACCCTCCCAGATCCTTGGCCTGCCCAGGAACGACCGCTGTCCCCCAGAGCCCCGGCCCCCTTCTCACTGCTCTCCCAGGCCCACGCAGCTGAGCAGCCTCCCCAGAACAGTTCCTCCCCTCTCCAAGTATCCCAGGGTCTCCTCATGCTGACCTGGCCCTCATTACCACCCTTGCATGCTTAGTCACTTCAGTTATGTCCAACTCTCTGTGACCCCTTAGACTGTAGGGGTCTGTAGGAGAGACTGCCAGTCTCTCTGTCCATGGGGTTCCCCAGGCAAGAATACTGGAGTAGGTTGCCATGCTCTCCTCCACAGGATCTTCTCTACCCAGGGATCAAATTTGCACCTGCTGCATTGCAAGTGGGTTCTTTACCACTGAGGCACTGGGAAAGCCCCTCCAATACCACCCCAAAAGGATGTTTTTCCCTTTTCTGAATTTTTAGGCCATTGTCATGATGCTGAAGGTATGAAGAGGGTGAACAGAGAAATGTACCCCTTCCCCCCCATCCCAGGCTCATTGTACTTTCTTTTGGAGATATTTAATGCACTTTGGAGCCCATGCACATTTTTTTAATTAATTAATTTTTTTACTATGCTGGATCTTTGTTGCTGCACTCAGGCTTTCTCTAGTTGCAGATAGCAGGGGTTACTCATTGAGCTGGCTTCTCTTGTTGCAAAGCACAGGCTCTAGATTGGGCTTCAGTATTTGTAGCACATGGACTTAGTTGCCCCCTGGCATATGGAATCTTCCCAGATGGACCAGGGATCAAACCAGTGTCCCCTGAATTGGCAGGCAGATTCCTAACCACTAGACCACCAGGAATGTCCTTTGTGCATACTTCGTTGTTTTTCCGCCTTTTAATCTTTGTTTTACACTGAGGACATCATCTTTTCTTCTGCACCTTCATGCCCTGTTTCCTGCCTCATAGGCTATTACATCCCCAGAAATGGGATACATTTCTGAGTGTGGATTTAGAGATCAACATTGTTCTCTATAAACTGCCCTCCACCTGGTTCCCACCAGCAGGAGCACACAGGTGACTGTGTCCCCAGTGCAGACAGCGGGCAGTTGATTGCCCATTAGGGTGAAGGTGGACAATCCCTAGGGATCTGATTTGCATCAAAGTCTTGGGAAGGTTGAGTTAGTGAAAGAACAGGCATCATCTGACCACCAGATTCTGGGCAACCCTCCCTCGCCCTGAACTTTCCATGGCTCCCCAGTGTCCTGGGACAAACCCTGGCAGCAATGATACTCAGGGCCTCTGAGGGCTGGCCTCACCACCATCCCAGAGCCCCAGCCCCATGGAAGGTCAGAGGCATGGCCTCTCACAGGCCTCATCCCCTAGTCTCTGCTTTTCTTATTGGTGAGTCTCCTGGGGTAAGGATGGGTCCTTCCCGGATCTACAGCATCCTCTAGGAAGCCTACCGCTCCCCCTGCTCTGCTCCACACTCCCTTCCCTAGTCCTCCTCCTGTACGCTCATCCTTACCTTGGAGGGGGAGGATGGGATGCAGGAGCAGGGTGTTGCTCCGGTGAACAGAGGGCGCACAGGCAGGGGAGGGAGTGGTCAGCGGCTGAAGGAGAGGCGGGAAGGCGGGGCACGGTGGGATGAGGAGTATAAACGCGCAGTGGCTGCAGCTGAGGAGTCCAGGAAAGCTGTGACCCAGACCTTGTAGCTCATCCCCAGAGGGCGATCGGGAAGGTCACGGCAGCGATCGTAGGGTGCAATCCCGGAGGGTGGTCAGGAGGAAGAGGGTGGCAATGCAGCCCTTGTCCGCGTATGGGCCTAACGCGTCCTGGTGGGCGCCGGCCAACACAACGGTCTGCCCCGGCTGTGGCGCCAACACTTCGAACGGTGCGATCCCTGAGCCTTGGCCCGTGGACGCCTGGCTGGTGCCGCTCTTCTTCGGCGCGCTGATGCTGCTCGGCCTGACAGGGAACTCGCTGGTCATCTTCGTCATCTGCCGCCACAAGCAGATGCGGACGGTGACCAACTTCTACATCGGTGAGCGCCCGGCGCTTCACGGTGCCGGAGGGCCACTCCGGGGGTCTACGAGAGGGCGTAGTGGCCGGGAAGGGGGGGCGCCCCTAGCGGTGAGTCGGGGTCCTCTCAGTTGGGGATTTCTCCGCTGCAGGGCTCCTGGTCCTTTTTCCCTACTGTCCTGGTATCTTAGGCTGGAGGTCGCCAAATGTGGTGTTGAAGCGTTCCATCTTAACTAGAGTAGTTAAAAGGGAGGTTGGAGAGTGTGGCCCATGAAGCTTTGCCCCCTGCCACTCAAGGAAGATGTCCGATTGAAATGTGGTTCTTATAACACCGTGTGGGATGAATAAAAGGAGTGGGGGAAAGACTGCGTGGCCCACGGGCCCCCAGTTGGCAACTACTGCCCCAGAGGCTCAGTTTATACGTTTGTGCGATGAGGGTGCCCTACCCGGGTGAGTACTCACTCAGTCCGTGTTCTCCATTCTCTGTTGGCTGGCACCACTCAATTTGCAGATGAGAAAACTGAGGCTCAGAGGGCAAGGGCCTATTTGCAGTCTCGACAGGGGTGAGCACGGCCCATTACTGCTTGAATGGCTACAAAGCAGGTGCTGGGTGAGGGGTGTTTGAAATATTAAAAAGTGAGAGGAAGCGCCCGACTTCTTTGCCCACGGATGCTGGGGTCTCTCTGGGTGCCTCCCGAGCCGCCCTGCTGGTCATTCGGACAAAGGCGAGACCCAGGAGGCTGGGCCAGGGTGCTGAAGGGCCAGGGCGATGAGCCCCACATTCAGAACCCGCGCGTCCCCGGCCTGCAGTCAACCTGGCGGTCACAGACTTAACGTTCCTGCTGTGCTGCGTGCCGTTCACCGCTCTGCTCTACCCGCTGCCCGCCTGGGTGCTGGGCGACTTCATGTGCAAGTTTCTCAACTACATCCAGCAGGTGCGCGGGCTGAGGGCAGGAGGGCCGGGGGCGGAATCTGGGTGTGGGCGGGGTCGGACCTCCTACGGGCCGGTGCGAGCCAGGGGCTGCTGTGGAGGTGGGCGGGGCAGAGTCTGGGTGTGGGCGGGGCCCGTCTCCCGGCGGCCTGGTGAGGGCCCGGGACTCGGTGCGGAGGTGGGGCGGGCACTGGGACTGGGTTACCCACCAGGGCTAGGGCAGGTACTGGGATCCTACTAGGATGGCTCTGCCTCTCCTGGTCTCAGTCTTGGGGGTTTCAGGCTACCCCCGAAGGCTCCTCCCTCCGCCACCACCCTGGGCCCCTTTCTGGCATCCCCTTCTCCTGCCCCTTCAACTGTGGGCCCTGGAGACCTTCCCGGGTCAGGTCCTGCCTGTACTCGAGTGGCTGGACAGTGGGGGACCCGCAAGGAGGGCGCGGACAGGGAAAGGCCCTGACGGGGCAGGGGTACACGCGCCGGACTCCCGGCCTTCCCAGGTTTCGGTGCAGGCCACGTGCGCCACTCTGACCGCCATGAGCGTGGACCGCTGGTACGTGACAGTGTTCCCGCTGCGCGCCCTGCACCGCCGCACGCCCCGCCTGGCGCTGGCAGTCAGCCTCGGCATCTGGGTGGGTGAGTTCAGCGTGGGGGTCGCACAGGCTGGGGGAGACAAGTCTTCGTCCCTGGGCTCACCCCCTCCCACTGCCTCGATCGTGCATCTGTGAAATGGGCGCACTAGCGCTCCCTGCAAGGGCGCCTGAGGGCGGGGACCCAAGTGGTCCCGTGCCTAGCAGGCTCTCGGTGGCCCACTGCCCGGGAGGCACCGGGGAGACCCGGGCCCTCTTGCGCCCCTCGTCCCCCCGGGGCAGGATCTTCAGCAGGGCCCTGATGCAGGCTCGGCTGTCGTGTCGGCGCCGGTGTTCGCCCTACATCGCCTGTCGTCCGGACCGCGTACCTACTGTAGCGAGGCCTTCCCCAGCCGCACCCTCGAGCGAGCCTTCGCGCTCTACAACCTGCTGGCGCTCTACCTGCTGCCGCTGGTCGCCACCTGTGCCTGCTACGGGGCCATGCTACGTCACTTGGGCCGGGCCGCCGTGCGCCCAGCGACCGCCGACGGCACCCTGCAGGTGCGCGGCTGGCGGGCGGGGGAACGGGACGCGGCCTAGCTGAGGGTGGGGGGAGGTACAGTAGCGGGGAGTGAGGCGCATCTACGGAGGGGGGTGGGGCGGTGGCCCGGGTTGGGGAGTAATTCGAGAGGGTCAAGAAGGGGAGCGCCGGAGAAGGGGTGTCGTCGCTGCCGGCCCTTCGCCTTCCCTTTTTCTCCTCCCGTCTCTCCAGGGGAAGCTGCTGGCGGAGCGGGCGGGTGCCGTGCGGGCCAAGGTCTCCCGGCTGGTGGCGGCCGTGGTCCTGCTCTTCGCTGCCTGCTGGGGCCCCATCCAGCTGTTCCTGCTGCTGCAGGCGCTGGGCCCGGCCGGCGCCTGGCATCCGCGCAGTTACGCCGCCTACGCGCTCAAGATCTGGGCACACTGCATGTCCTACTGCAACTCGGCGCTGAACCCATTGCTCTACGCCTTCCTGGGCTCCCACTTCCGCCAGGCCTTCCGCCGCGTCTGCCCCTGCGCTCCCCGGCCGCTCCCGCGGCCCTGGCGGCCCGGACCCTCGGATCTCGCGACCGCCGGCCAAACCCAGCTGCGACGCCTGGGCCACGCCAGGCCCCCCGAAGTCAGGCAGCGGTAGTCCGGGGCTGCCCAGGCTGTGCGTTCTGAGGGGACACGCTGTGTCTCTCTGAGCCCTCTCTGAAGGGATCAAGATGGGCCCCTCTGAAACAGGCGGGCTTAAATAGCAGCTGCTATTATACTGTTTTTACCCCAAATCATAATAGAGTAAAGGCCTTGTCCTGTTGCAACATTTGATACAAATCTGCTGTATGTTTGCCACTGTTGATGTTGTAATTATTATTTGTGTTTCCTGAATTGAAGATGCTTTGATGCTGACATTTTCTGGAACTTTGGAGGAAGCATCAATAGGACTTTTCACACACTGCCCTGTGGATGACTGTACAATTGTAAGCCTGTACAAATGCCATTTTCAGAGACACTAAAAAGTGAACGTGATGTCCATCTTATAATGGATGAAATAAGGTATTCTTCTTGGCACCTTGTGAGTGAGTGTTCAGAGTCCTGGCTGGAAAATCATGGGTGTCATTGAATAAATAGCAGAGACATCACTTTGCAGACAAAGGTCTGTATAGTCAAAACAGGTTTTTGCAATAGTCATGTATGGATGTGAGAGTTGCAACAATCTTTATAGGAGGCTGAGTACCTTAGAATTGATGCTTTCGAATTGCAGTGTTGGAGAAGACTTGAAATCCCCTTGGACAGCAAGGCGATCAAACAAGTGAATCCTAAAGGAAATTAACCCTGAGTATTTATTGGAAGGACTGATGCTGAAGCTGAAACTCCAATACTTTGACCATATAATGTGAAGAGCCGACATACTGGAAAAGACTGTGATGCTGGAAAGATTGAAGGCACAAGGAAAAGGTGGCAGAGGATGAGATGGCTAGATAGCATCACCGACTCAATGGACATGAATTTGAGCAAACTCTGGGAGACAGTGAAGTACAGGGAAGCCTGGCATGCTGCAGTCCATGGGGTCACAAAGAGTGAGACATGACTTAATGACTGAACAACAATCCAAGGGAGCAGGATTATTGCTACATAACACACCCCCAAATAAAGAGGCATATAGCAACATCAGTGTATTTTTCAAAACTAGTTTCATTAAAAATATATATATATTTATTTGCTTGGAGAAGGAAATGGCAACCCACTCCAGTATTCTTGCCTGGAAAAGTCCATGGACAGAGGAGCCTGGCAGGCTGCAGTCCATGGGGTTACATGACTGAGCATGTGTGCATGAGGGTGGAGGGAGATGGATTGGTAGCAATAAAGTGGTAGAACTAAAATAATAATAATAAATTAAAAAAATATTTACTGGCTACAACGGGTCTTAGTTGCAGCACACAGCTCAGTTGCTCTGAAACATGCGGTATCTTAGTTCCCTGACCAGGGATAAAACCCATGTCCCCTGCATCATAAGGGGGAGTCTTAACCACTGGACCACCAGGGAAGTCCCCAGCATCAGTGTATCATTGCTCACGGTTCTGTGGGTGAGTAGACCCAGCCAGGCAGTTCTTGTGATCCATGGGTGGTACTGGGTGGAGCCGCCAACCCAGCGGCTGGACTGGGAAGGCCAGAGAAGGCTTTGCTCTCAGGCTGGTAGCCAGTGCACTTCCATGGCTGCCTGGACTTCCTCCCAGCAGGGCAATCTGGGGAAAGTCAGACTTCCTCCTGGTCAGAGACTTCCAATTAGAGAAGGAGCCTGCAACCTCAACCCTGCCGCAGGGAGTTGTTGGGAGCTGTCAGGATCACAACCAGATTCAAGGTGTGAGGGCAGAGCCACCTCATTGTGGGTTCAACTGCATTTGTCTGTGGGGTGGGGGGGGGAGGGCTAGGATCAGTCCCTGCAGGCCTCAGGCTTAGTCTCCCTGAAGGACAACTGCCCATCTCGAGGAGGGCTCTGTCCCCCCAAATTATTAGGGAACATCCTAGGTCTCCAAAGAGCCCAAATGTGCAGAGATGTTATGTGAGAAGGGGAGGCCATTCTGACATTGAAGTTGTCCAGGCCCTTTCCTGTGGCCTTTGCACAGGCAGGTCCCTTGTTGGTCCAGGTCACCTTAACCCTTGCTCATCTATCAAGTCTCAGCTCAGCTTCCTCCTCCTCCAGGAAGCCCTCCTGGATCCCAGCGGGCTGGGTCAGGCCCCTCACCTGTGCCCAGGGCTGCCCCATCTCAGTTCTGACATCCTTGTGCTGTACTTGCTGGGTATGTATCTGGATTGGTCCCCAGTGTGTCTCCAGGGTTCAGCACTCAGTGGGAGTGATGAAAAGAGATGGTGTGTATACAGGGAATGGCAGAATTTCTCTATGAAAAATGAATAAAAAAAAACAAACAAGGAGTTCCCTGGTGGTGCAGTGGACAAGAATCTGCCTGCTGAAGCAGGGGACATGGGTTCGATCCCTGGTCCAGGAAGATTCCACATGCCAAGGAGCAACTAAGCCTATACACCACTATGACTAAGCCCACATGCCCTAGAGCCTGTGCTCTGCAACAAGAGAAGCCACCACAATAAGAAGCCCGGGCACTGCAATAGACAGTAGACCCCACTCACCACAACTAGAGGAAGACCGTGAGCAGCAACGAAGACCCAGGGCAGCCAAAAATAAGCAAACATTTCAAGGGGACTCTTAGGCATCTATCTCAAAGAAATAGAAACTTCTGTTCACACAAAACTATGGCTTCCCAGGTGGCACTAGTGATAAAGAATCCATCTGCCAATTCAGGAGACATAAGGGTCACAGGTTCAATCCCTGGGTTGGGAAGATCCCCTGGAGGAGGGCATGGCAACCCACTCCAGTATTCTTGCCTGGAGAATCCATTGGACAGAGGAGCCATGGACAGATGAAGTGAAGCTACAGTCCATACCACACACACATGATCATAGCAGCTTTATTTGTGATACTCCCAAACTGTCAATGAACCAGACATCCTTCAGTGGGTGAGTAGTTGAAAAAACCATGGGCTGGTCCATCCACAACTGCTCAACTGTTCTAAGTTATGAACACACTGTTGATACACACACACCCACGGCAGATTTCTGGGAATGACGCTGAGTGTAGGGAGGAAGCCTGCAAAGGTTACATGAGGTATGATTACATCTGTGTAACCTCCTCAAGGTAACAAAAATATGGAATGGAGAGCAGATGCAGGGTGGCCAGGGTAGGAGATGATGGGAAGCAGACAACATGTGGGACCTTTGTGACGGAGCCACTCTGTCCCTGGATGTGGTGGAGACACAAACCTGCACATGTGACTGAACTGCAGAGAAGGAAAAGGGCACACACGAGTACAAATGAAACGGGGGCTCCAGATCCACAGGTGGAACATAGCAACCCTAATACCCTGATTCCAATGTTGTACTACATAGTTTTGCAAAATATCACTGTTGGGAGATGCCTGGTAAAGGGCGTGAGGGAGCTATCTCTGCATTAGAATCTGCAATACTCTTAAAAAAATTTTTTTAAGAAATGATGTGAAAAGCTTGAAAGGGGACATATAGGAAGCAGCATCTTCACAAAACTGCAGACCCTTGCTTTATCCTCAAGTCTGTTCATCTGAGGACTGTTTTCAGAGCCCCTTCTGTGTGCCAGGTGCTGTGTGAGAGGCACCCTCCGACCCCTGCCCCTACAGAGCTCCTGTCTAGTTGGCAATGGGGCCAGTAAGTGGTAAGCTACTGAGATAGATGCAAATAAAAGCAGTGCAAAGGGTTACCAAGGAGATATGGGTGTCCTTTGTGAGCAACTGTAAACCTGACCATGATTCAGGGAAGGCTTCCTAGATGAGGTGAAGCCAGGAAATGTGACCTCTGCTCAGAGGTGGGGAAAGAGCGTATCCAATGGAGCCCACAGCCAGTGCAAAGGCCATGAGGCAGGGTATGCCTGGTGGATCTTAGAAATAGGTGGGAGGAAGGTAGGGCTTCCCAGTTAAGGATGGGAGATGAGAGAAGTGAGAACAGAGAGGTGGCCGAGACCTTATAAGCAAGGAGATGTATTGGGTCTTTCCTGATTGGATGGGAGCCATAGGAGGCTTCTCAACAGGGAGGGGTGTGGTCTAAGGTATGAGGAGATTTTTTTCAATTCATTATATCATTATTATGATTACTGTAACCTTTGTGGCATCACCGACTCAATGGACATGTGTTTGAGTAAACTCCAGGAGTTTGTGATGGACAGAGAGGCCTGGCGTGCTGCAATTCATGGGGTCGCAAAGAGTCGGACACGGCTGAGTGACTGAACTGAATTGAACTTTTGTGGGGTGCCAACACCAGGCATAGGCCAGTGCCGCTGATTTGGGTGGGGATGGAACCCGAAACCACAGCATTAGAATAAACCCCAGAGGTTAGGGTGGGTCAGGAGAGGGGTTAATTTCAATTTCAGATAAACAGTGACAAAATTTTTAGTATCATTATGTCCTGTGCAAAATTGGGATATATATAAATTATTCATTGTTTTGTTTTTGAATTGCGGTGCTAGAGAAGACTCTTGAGAATTCTTTGGACTGCAAGGAGACCAAACCAGTCAGTAGAGGAGAGTGAAAAAGTTCGTTTAAAACTCAATATTCAGAAAATTAAGATCATGGCATCCACTCCCATCACTTCATGGCAAATAGATGGGGAAACAATGGAAACAGTGAGAAACTTTTTATTTTGGGACTCCAAAATTACTGCAGATGGTGATTGCAGCCATGAAATTAAAAGATGATTGCTCCTTGGAAGAAAAGGTATGACCAACCTAGACAGCATATTAAAAAGCAAAGACAAAAAAAAAAAAAAAAAAAGCAAAGACATTACCTTGCCAACAAAGGTCCATCTAGTCAAAGCTATGGTTTTTCCAGTAGTCATGTATGGATGTGAGAGTTGGACCATAAAGAAAGCTGAGCCCCGAAGAATTGATGCTTTTGGACTGTGGTGTTGGAGAAGACTCTTGAGAGTCCCTTGAACAGCAAGGAGATCAAATCAGTCCATCCTCAAAGAAATCAGTCCTGAATATTCTTTGGAAGGACTGATGCTGAAGCTGAAACTCCAATACTTTGGCCACTTGATGTGAAGAACTG